TGATGGCACACTGTAGGTCCACATACAGTTGAAGTCAGAAGTTTACATACACCTTAGCGAAATACATTTAAACTCAGTTTTTCACAATTCCTGACATTTAATCCTAGTAAAAATTCCCTGTCTTAGGTCAGTTAGGATCACCACTTTATTTTAAGAATGTGAAATATCAGAATAATAGTAGAGAGAATGATTTATTTCAGCTTTTATTTCTTTCATCACATTCCCAGTGGGTCAGAAGTTTACATACACTCAATTAGTATTTGGTAGCATTGTCTTCAAATTGTTTAACTTGGGTCAAACATTTTGGGTAGCCGTCCACAAGCTTCCCACAATAAGTTGGGTGAATTTTGGCCCATTCCTCCTGACAGAGCTGGTGTAACTGAGTCAGGTTTGTAGGCCTCCTTGCTCGCAGACGCTTTTTCAGTTCTGCCCACACATTTTCTATAGGATTGAGGTCAGGGCTTTGTGATGGCCACTCCAATACCTTGACTTTGTTGTCCTTAAGCCATTTTGCCACCTTTGGAAGTATGCTTGGGGTCATTGTCCATTTGGAAGACCCATTTGCGACCAAGCTTTGACTTCCTGACTGATGTCTTGAGATGTTGCTTCAATATATCCACATAATTTTCCTTCCTCATGATGCCATCTATTTTGTGAAGTGCACCAGTCCCTCCTGCAGCAAAGCACCCCCACAGCATGATGCTGCCACCACTGTGCTTCACGGTTGGGATGGTGTTCTTCGGCTTGCAAGCAACCCCCTTTTTCCTCCAAACATAACGATGGTCATTATGGCCAAATAGTTCTATTTTTGTTTCATCAGACCAGAGGACATTTCTCCAAAAAGTACGATCTTTGTCCCCATGTGCAGTTGCAAACCGTAGTCTGGCTTTTTTTATGGCAGTTTTGGAACAGTGGCTTCTTCCTTGCTGAGCGGCCTTTCAGGTTATGTCAATATAGGACTTGATTTTCCCATGGTCAGCAATGAGGCACTGCGTTTGAAGGTAGGCCTTGAAATACATCCACAGGTACACCTCTAATTTACTCAAATGATGTCAATTAGCCTATCTGAAGCTTCTAAAGCCATGACATCATTTTCTGGAATTTTCCAAGCTGTTTAAAGGCACAGTCAACTTAGTGTATGTAAACTTCTGGAATTGTGATACAGTGAATTATAAGTGAAATAATCTGTCTGTAAACAATTGTTGGAAAAATTACTTGTGTCATGCACAAAGTAGATGTCCTAACCGACTTGCCAAAACTATAGTTTGTTAACAAGAAATGTGTGGAGTGGTTGAAAAACGAGTTTTAATGACTCCAAACTAAGTGTATGTAAACTTCCGACTTCAACTGCAGATTCACAGCAGCCCCCTTAGGACACCATGATTTCTTTATCAATTGTCTCTAAGAAATGTCAGTCTCACCGTTTATTTATCTATTTTCGAGATCCCGTATTCACCTGTACAAAATAAAAATAACAAATAATAATAATCAAATGACACCGCTGGTCCTGCTCAAACTGCCCTACCCTATGCTTTGACCTCTTTCTCCCCTCTCTCTCCAGATGAAATCTTGCGACTTGTGACGGCCGGCCGCCCAACAACCTGCCCGCTTGACCCTATGCACTCCTCTCTTCTCCAGACCATTTCCGGAGACCTTCTCCCTTACCTCACCTCACTCATCAACTCATCCTTGACCGCTGGCTATGTCCCTTCCGTCTTCAAGAGAGCAAGAGTTGCATCCCTCCTCAAGAAACCTACACTCGATCCCTCCGATGTCAACAACTACAGACCAGTATCCCTTCTTTCTTTTCTCTCCAACTCTTGAGCATGCAGTCTCTAGCCAACTCTCCTGCTATCTCTCTCAGAATTACCTTCTTGATCCAAACCAGTCAGGTTTTAAGACTGGTCATTCAACTGAGACTGCTCTTCTCTGTGTCATGGAGGCTCTCCGCACTGCTAAAGCTAACTCTCTCTCCTCTGCTCTTATCCTTCTAGACCGATCTGCTGCCTTTGATACTGTGAACCATCAGATCCTCCTCTCCAAGTTGGGATTCTCCGGCGCTGCTCACTCTTGGATTGCGTCCTACCTGACAGGTCGCTCCTACCAGGTGGCGTGGCGAGAATCTGTCTCCGCACCACGTGCTCTCACCACTGGTGTCCCCGAGGGCTCAGTTGTAGGCCCTCTCCTATTCTCTCTATACACCAAGACACTTGGCTCTGTCATATCCTCACATGGTCTCTCCTATCATTGCTACGCAGACAACACACAATTCATTTTCTCCTTTCCCCCTTCTGATAACCAGGTGGCGATTTGCATCTCTGCATGTCTGGCAGACATATCAGTGTGGATGTCGGATCACCACCTCAAGCTGAACCTCGGCAAGACGGAGCTGCTCTTCCTCCCGGGGAAGGACTGCCTGCTCCATGATCTCGCCATCACGGTTGACAACTCCATTGTGTCCTCCTCCCAGAGTGCAAAGAACCTTGGCGTGACCCTGGACAACACCCTGTCGTTCTCCGCTAACATCAAAGCGGTGACCCGATCCTGCAGGTTCATGCTCTACAACATTCGCAGAGTACGACCCTACCTTACACAGAAAGCGGCACAGGTCCTAATCCAGGCACTTGTCATCTCCCGTCTGGATTACTGCAACTCACTGTTGGCTGGGCTCCCTGCCTATGCCATTAAACCCCTACAACTTATCCAGAACGCTGCAGCCCGTCTGGTGTTCAACCTTCCCAAGTTCTCTCATGTCACCCCGCTCCTCCGCACACTCCACTGGCTTCCAGTTGAAGCTCGCATCTACTACAAAACCATGGTGCTTGCCTACGTAGCTGTGAGGGGAACGGCACCTCCTTACCTTCAGGCTCTGATCAGACCCTACACCCAAACAAGAGCACTACGTTCATCCACCTCTGACCTGCTAGCTCCCCTACCTCTACGGAAGCACAGTTCCCGCTCAGCCCAGTCAAAGCTATTCGCTGCTCTGGCACCCCAATGGTGGAACAAGCTCCTCCACGACGCCAGGACAGCGGAGTCACTGACCACCTTCTGGAGACACTGGAAACCCTACCTCTTTAAGGAATACCTGGAATAGTATAAAGTAATCATTCTTGCAGTCAAAGCAGGTCATGTTGGTTATAAGCCGGCACAGGTGTTTGCAGTGAGAGAATCAGTCCAGAATGCAACAGGTTTGCAAACCTGGGTCATGTTCATCATGGCACACTAGTATTAAAACCAAAATAGTAAAAAAGACTAAAATGAATGCTAGTGGTTTTTATATATACACTGCTCAAAAAAATAAAGGGAACACTTAAACAACACAATGTAACTCCAAGTCAATCACACTTCTGTGAAATCAAACTGTCCACTTAGGAAGCAACACTGATTGACAATAAATTGCACATGCTGTTGTGCAAATGGAATAGACAACAGGTGGAAATTATAGGCAATTAGCAAGACACCCCCAATAAAGAAGTGGTTCTGCAGCTGGTGACCACAGACCACTTCTCAGTTCCTATGCTTCCTGGCTGATGTTTTGGTCACTTTTGAATGGTGGCGGTGCTTTCACTCTAGTGGTAGCATGAGACGGAGTCTACAACCCACACAAGTGGCTCAGGTAGTTCAGTTCATCCAGGATGGCACATCAATGCGAGCTGTGGCAAGAAGGTTTGCTGTGTCTGTCAGCGTAGTGTCCAGAGCATGGAGGCGCTACCAGGAGACAGGCCAGTACATCAGGAGACGTGGAGGAGGCCGTAGGAGGGCAACAACCCAGCAGCAGGACCGCTACCTCCGCCTTTGTGCAAGGAGGAGCAGGAGGAGCACTGCCAGAGCCCTGCAAAATGACCTCCAGCAGGCCACAAATGTGCATGTGTCTGCTCAAACGGTCAGAAACAGACTCCATGAGGGTGGTATGAGGGCCCGACGTCCACAGGTGGGGGTTGTGCTTACAGCCCAACACCATGCAGGACGTTTGGCATTTGCCAGAGAACACCAAGATTGGCAAATTCGCCACTGGCGCCCTGTGCTCTTCACAGATGAAAGCAGGTTCACACTGAGCACATGTGACAGAGTCTGGAGACGCCGTGGAGAACGTCCTCCAGCATGACCAGTTTGGCGGTGGGTCAGTCATGGTGTGGGGTGGCATTTCTTTGGGGGGCTGCACAGCCATTAGGTACTGAGATGAGATCCTCAGACCCCTTGTGAGACCATATGCTGGTGCGGTTGGCCCTGGGTTCCTCCTAATGCAAGACAATGCTAGACCTCATGTGGCTGGAGTGTGTCAGCAGTTCCTGCAAGAGGAAGGCATTGATGCTATGGACTGGCCCGCCCGTTCCCCAGACCTGAATCCAATTGAGCACATCTGGGACATCATGTCTCGCTCCATCCACCAACGCCATGTTGCACCACAGACTGTCCAAGAGTTGGCGGATGCTTTAGTCCAGGTCTGGGAAGAGATCCCTCAGGAGACCATCCGCCACCTCATCAGGAGCATGCCCAGGCGTTGTAGGGAGGTCATACAGGCACGTGGAGGCCACACACACTACTGAGCCTCATTTTGACTTGTTTTAAGGACATTACATCAAAGTTGGATCAGCCTGTAGTGTGGTTTTCCACTTTAATTTTGAGGGTGACTCCAAATCCAGACCTCCATGGGTTGATACATTTGATTTCCATTGATAATTTTTGTGTGATTTTGTTGTCAGCACATTCAACTATGTAAAGAAAAAAGTATTTAATAAGATTATTTCATTCATTCAGATCTAGGATGTGTTGTTTAAGTGTTCCCTTTATTTTTTGAGCAGTGTATATTTTTTTTTTGCACATTTACACAGCATGAATATTAACACAGTGTATGGTTAAAATCAGTCGTCCACACAGCATTTGTTGGCTTTAGCAATAAAGCTCGCCACGATTTCCTTGAGCTTTAGGAGATCTGACTCGTCCTCCTGAAGGGCTTCCCTGTAGACACGATCCACTCTATTGAGTTGGTCATCCATTCATTTCTGGAAAAGGGTCAAAATTCATATTCAGGATCAGTGGTTAAACAAGTCACCGTATGAAGGAATGAGGCCTTGAATTAATGTTAGGGATGAGAACGTTTGCATTTGTGGCACAGAATTCATATTTGACAAAATATAGCATGTTACAAACGGTTCCCCATTTAGGACTGACGTCTACAATGGACAGGTGGTCGATAGCCGTGGTGAACACGCCGGCTAGGTTGTTCACCACAGTCCGCCGTGCCTCTTTGGTTTCTTGCAACACAATCTGGTACCTGTTAAGAAAAACATGTAAAAATTACTGGAAAAACATCCCGTAAAATGAATCTATGCGCAATGAAAAAACAGTTAAAAACATTGCAGACTTCATGTGATAATGGTGAAAGGAGCACTCACTGTTGCTTGGCGGCTTTCAACTCTTCCATGGCGTCATCATATCCTAAGGTCACCTTCTTCTCCAGTAGCGTCCTGTGCTTCTCCACATTCTCCATCTCAGCAGCCCACTTCTGCTCCTCACTGTCGATCTCCTACACACCATGGATAAGCGAAGGAGAAAAACCTACTCCCCTTTCTGCAAAACATTTGCTACACCATTAAACATGACAGCACGTCTGTTCCCATTGTGAGAAAAGGACAGCCCTCGGCCACACAAGTTATTATTCTACATTTGGTGGCAGTGGTGGGATCCAGTGGCTACAGGGGAGCAATATCTTCAGCAGAAAGGGCCGGCACAAGGTCCCTATTCTACACACCCATGGATAAAGACTTCCATTTTTATATTTTACACTTGGATAATGTTGTGATAACATACCTGCATGTGGTGTTCAAGCTGCTTGTCTACCCTACGAATTTGCGCTCTCAGTTGTTTCAAGTCGTTTGCCTTTTCTGAAATATTTGAATTAACCTGAAAGAGAACGAGTCCATATTAGAACCTCAAAGCAAAACATGCATGTTCCATCTTTTTATTTATTTTTTTATTTTTTTTACGTACAGACTGGTCTCATACCTGTTCCATAGACTCTTCCAGAACAAATGTCTTGTTTTTCAGCCGACTACACTCTTCTTCCACATCAGTGATCATTTTCTTCAGTGGATTCTGTAAAATGAATAATTAACAGCTTTAAAAAAAATTCCAACACAGTGCCCAAAAGGGATGTAATAAAGTGAGCGAAATAATCAACACACTTAAATCTGTGTTCTGTATTGGATCATAGTCGATGGCTTGTATTCTGTCGTGGTCCTGATCTCAAAGTCATGGCCACAAGCATTTTCAGCAGACACAGGTATGAGCTTCAGTTTGCGAGCCAGCTTGTGGTACTCGGCTAGCTTCTCTTCAGCCTAAACAAGGCGGGAGAATATTAATCATACTTATTACATATTTTGGATTAGCATTGGGCAACACCAGGGTCATATTCATTAGGCACCAAATGGCAGAAAATGGACTGAAACAGGGAGAGAAAGTTGTAGTGAATTTCCTGTTGCAAAACTGTCAGTAGCATGTCCTAATGAATGTACCCCAGTTAAGTAGCCCCTCCAGCATCCTCTTCACTTACTGTCTCTTTGACCTTGGTCAGAGCAATCTCCTCTTTCCACATGTGCTGCTGAGCCAGCTCCAGGCTCTTGTTTAGGCTGTTGATGGTCTTCTGCAGCTCCCTTTTCTCCCAGATGTCCCGCTCGATGTCTGCAGAGGTGAACTTCTGGTTGGACAGGATGTGCTGGAGCCTCGACTGCTCCTGTTTCAGGGTCTCCACCTGCAGACCTGCAAGGGACAAAATAAATGGAGACATTAGACGACAACTGTTCAGCATTTCAAGAGTAGCAATTGCTAGTAGTCTTCCAACGGCCAGTTACAGGACCAGGGCTTGTATTAAAAAAACGGTCTAAGGCAAAACTGATCCTATATCAGCACTGCTGCTACTGAGCAAAGATTTAACATGTTACAAGGAACACCATTCCGCCAGGGGATTTCTCAGCGGTGTAAAATACTTAAGTTTTACTTTAAAGTATTTGTACTTAAGTAGTTATTTTGGAGTGTCTGTACTTAACTTTTACTTCACTAAATTCCTTAAGAAAATAATGTATTCCCCCCCACACCCAAAAGTACTCGTTACATTTTAACAGGAAAATTGTCCAATTCACACACTTATCAAGAGAACATCCCTGGTCATCCTTACTGTCTGATCTGGCAGACTCACTAAACAAATACTTCGTTTGTAAATGTCTGTTGGGGTGTGCCCCTGGCTATCCATAAATTAAAGAGAAAATTGTGCCATCTGATTAGCCTAATAAGGAATTTGAAATGACTTACTTTTGATACTTAAGTATATTTAAAATAAAACACTTTTATTAAAATCATATTTTACTGGGTGACTTTCACTTGAGTCATTTTCTATTAAGGAATCTTTACTTTTACTCCAGACAATACTTTCTCCACTACAGATTTTTACCTGATGCTTTCAGCTCCTCAGACAGTCCTGAGGCTTTGTTCTCCAAGGTGGCTTTGAACGACATCACCTCATTGCGATAGCTCTTAAGCTTCTGCAGGTCTGTGGACAGTTTCACTTTCTCCACTCGTTTGGATTCCAATCTATCCTGCTCAACAAGAAATAGTTATTAAAAAAATAAAACATCCAAGCCTCCATGTTCCATCCAAAAGGAATCAGTACAGTTACTGTACTCAACAGCTTAAACTGGACCTAGAGCTATGATGCTGTCGCAGTACGTCAATGACCAACGTCCTTATGGATTCAAAGTGAGTGACTAACCATTTGACTTTCTTTCTCCATCCGCGCAACCTTGTCACTCAGCATCCTGTACTTCTCCTCCATTGACACCAGAAGATCTTTGTCCACACTGTACAGTTTCTCTATGGAAATAGGTTAGAGTTTTACTTTGCGGTTATTACATATGGCATGTTACTAATATTCACTTTGTACAGCGATGTCAGTCACCACTGCTTACTTAAATTAGCGAGATATTCATTGTCCTCTTCTTCAAATGTGTCTGCTCCTTGCATGAACTTGTGGTAGGTTTCAGCACTGTAGTCATGAAAGAGCTTGAGACGGAGGGGGTATAAAAGTAGTGTTAACTAGAGGCCTAACCGGTTTCCTAAATGGCTGTGTTGAGTAAGATAACACCAGAGGCCCAACATCGCAAATCTTCCAGGAACGCTCCCGAAGCAGACCAAACCGGGATTTGGGAAGGCAATGAGCGAAGTGAAATTCTTCCTTAGATGTGAATTTTCTCGATTTCTAAAAAGGCACAACCTAGATTCGAGCTAACGTCTTTAGCTGAACATGTTATTACTCCAACCGCAAAGGTGACAAATCAACACATTTTGATTCGTCAAAATTCATCGAAAGCGTGCCGTGATTTGACGGCATGCACATGCGCAGGTCGATGCGACACGACCATTAGACGAATGACGTTTTTTTGCGCACAAGCTTAGCTGATGTCGCCTACAAGCGTGATCAGGGATTTCTACTGGAGAAACAGTTTAGGCATCTTCATGCTAAACCATCTTTGATAACACTACCTTGCCGAACTCAATACCCTCCTCGATCTCCGTGCTGCCATCAGAATTGGAGAAGAGCATGTCCTGTTGTTCAGCCATGCTGCAAAATATCTGCAAAATACAGTGTGCATGACATCTTGGTGATCATTATCGATGTTCTTGAAGGAGCAACAGGTCACATTTTAGCCACTGCTTAGCGGAGGTGGGAGCAAGTCACGATTAGTCAAGTCACAAGCAATTCTCAAGTTGAGTCCCAAGTAGAACGGGTCAATACTCAAGTCAAGTCCAACTCGTGCATTCTAAGAGCAAGTCAAGTCACAAGTTTCCAAATCAAGTCAAGTAAAATAAAAACTTATACATGCAACGACTTGTCCAACAACAAATCTTTGTCTATTTATTGAGGCTACCAGACGTCCCTTTTCATTATTTTGTCTACTCCAATTGTAAAATAGGGACCTTGTAGCAGTCATAAGGGCATGAAGTCAGCAGAAAACAAGGCAGGTTGACGTGCTCAGAGTGTAGATTTATTTACAGGTCTTGGTGAGCCAATGGTGAAAGCGCCATATAATACAAAATATACAAGTAGATTTACCAAATATACACGGGCAAGAGCCCAAAATAAATTGCCTCTCAGGCTTAACCTGTCCTATCTGATTGAACAAAGGTAAAGGGCAAGACTGTACAGCCCGAATCTGTCTAACAGGAGCTCAAACAGATAGGCATACATAATAAGCGCTTGGCCCCCAGGACCATACAATTCCAACCAATAAACTGGTTCTACAATGGAAAAGGAATTTTTTACATCCATTGATACATTACTCTTAAAATCAGATGTAATTATTTTTAATGCCATTTCACCACCACACATACATGGAACAATCATTATCTTATTCAACATTCTGACGCCAAAGCGTTCTATGCGCACCGAGGCGCGAGCTCCTATTACCCACAACGAAAATGACAGCAACATAGGCACACGGAACTCCGACATACCCCGGAAAATGTGAACAAAGGAAACCATACATTTAATTAAATAAACAGCACTTCTACCTCATGAGTCTTGCAAACGTTCATGTGCACTATAAAAACATTGCGTCCACTCAGAGCAGGGTAAGAAATGGTTGGCTAAATGAAAATGTATCATAAGCCTATCAAACATGAAACCGAAATGTCCATGTGTTGCAATAAACAGTATGGAATGATACGCTATCAATTATTTTAGTATTAAATTGAATGTAGATTTACCACATAGGGCCTGTGCATTTAAACATTTCAACAAGAGAAAAAGCACTCCACTTGCAGGAATTCTGAGATTCTTCCCACAGTAGGCTAATCATTCATTTTAACAAATTCCAAATGCAAGCTTCATAAGTAAATCATAAATTTCAAGTAATTGTTACACACCAAAAGACCAGTAGTCCTATGCTAGTAATTGTTGCCCCATTGCTGGGGAGCTTGCAAAGTAAACTTTATATTATTGATCACCAACATTTTTTAGTACTGCATATTTATTTATGTCAATCCTCTCTCACTACAATTTGACATTTGAGCTGCACCCGAGCCTATAGCTGTACAGCAAATCAGCAATCTGTTCGCTAGCTCATCCAACCTGTGTTGATTGACAGTTTGCTAGTCCATTCAGTGCCGAGTGTGCGTTTCACTAGCCAATCTGTTGCAACCGTCTCTCGCTGTGTGTAGAGTAATCCACATAGACTCTGCCACGAAATGAGTGCCAAAACACTACAAAACCTGGCCAGATAATGTCAAGTCAGTCTCAAGTCAAATATGGAAAGTTGTTTAAACTGGCCAGAAAAAAAGAAGGGCATGTATGTATGTATCTAATTGGTTTACCTCAGTCATTACTACTGGTAGGTTATTGACATTTGACACTAATTGCAGGTGGAATTGTCACATGTAGAACCTTAAGAGGTCATCTCCTACTGGGCTGTCTAATACCCACCTTCAAAGTATCAATGAGCCAGATCAGAGCCCCCAACACCTGTGGCCAGGTATGTGGAGCTCCCACAGAGAACATGGAACTTTTAGAGAGTGGAAATGGATACCTGCCAGCAGAGAGATAGTTGTCAGTAGACATGAACCTGCTAGCATGCAAACATGTAGAAATTGTCAGTTGATGTTTGCATCACATTATTTCAAAATTATTGATTTACCCCAAGTCTTTGAGAATCCTGGGGACCTCTTCCTCCACTTTGGAGGTTGGCATCTGGAAGGTGGGATCAATGAGGCAGTAGAGGAACTCAAAGATCCGCAGGAACTCCTTGGTGGAGGGACCCTGGAGAGACTTTACTGACACTATACCAGGAAACCCCTTCTCTATCAGAAACTAGGGAGAACAAGGGGGAAATCATTTGTGCTATGAGGAATTCTGTTTAAAAACCTGTATTATGAGTTAGATATACAGTGAGGGAAAAAAGTATTTGATCCCCTGCTGATTTGTACATTTGCCCACTGACAATGAAATGATCAGTCTATAATTTTAATTGTAGGTTTATTTGAACAGTGAGAGACAGAATAACAACAAAAAAATCCAGAAAAACCCATGTCAAAAATGTTTATAAATTGATTTGCATTTTAAATGAGGGAAATAAGTATTTGACCCCCTCTCAATCAGAAAGATTTCTGGCTCCAAGGTGTCTTTTATACAGGTAACGAGCTGAGAGGAGTGCTCCTAATCTCAGTTTGTTACCTGTATAAAATACACCTGTCCACAGAAGCAATCAATCAGATTCCAAACTCTCCACCATGGTCAAGACCAAAGAGCTCTCCAAGGATGTCAGGGACAAGATTGTAGACCTACACAAGGCTGGAATGGGCTACAAGACCATCGCCTAGCAGCTTGGTGAGAAGGTGACAACAGTTGGTGCGATTATTCGCAAATGGAAGAAACAGAAAAGAACTGTCAATCTCCCTCGGCCTGGGGCTCCATACAAGATCTCACCTCGTGGAGTTGCAATGATCATGAGAACGGTGAGGAATCAGCCCAGAACTACATGGGAGGATCTTGTCAATGATCTCAAGGCAGCTGGGACCAGTCACCAAGAAAACAATTGGTAACATAGTACGCCGAGAAGGACTGAAATCCTGCAGTGCCCGCAAGGTCCCCCTGCTCAAGAAAGCACATATACAGGGCCATCTGAAGTTTGCCAATGAACATCTGAATGATTCAGAGGAGAACTGGGTGAAAGTGTTGTGTTCAGATGAGACCAAAATCGAGCTCTTTGGCATCGACTCAACTCGCCGTGTTTGGAGGAGGAGGAATGCTGCCTATGACCCCAAGAACACCATCCCCACCGTCAAACATGGCGGTGGAAACATTATGCTTTGGGGGTGTTTTTCTGCTAAGGGGACAGGACAACTTCACTGCATCAAAGGGACAATGGACGGGGCCATGTACCATCAAATCTTGGGTGAGAACCTCCTTCCCTCAGCCAGGGCATTGAAAATGGGTCGTGGATGGGTATTCCTGCTTGAAAATGACCCAAAACACACGGCCAAGGCAACAAAGGAGTGGCTCAAGAAGAGGCACATTAAGGTCCTGGAGTGGCCTAGCCAGTCTCCAGACCTTAATCCCATAGAAAATCTGTGGAGGCAGCTGAAGGTTCGAGTTGCCAAACGTCAGGCTCGAAACCTTAATGACTTGGAGAAGATCCGCAAAGAGGAGTGGAACAAAATCCCTCCTGAGATGTGTGCAAACCTGGTGGCCAACTACAAAAAACGTCTGACCTCTGTGATTGCCAACAAGGGTTTTGTCACCAAGTACTAAGTCATGTTTTGCAGAGGGGTCAAATACGTATTTCCCTCATTAAAATGCAAATCAATTTATAACATTTTTTACATGTGTTTTTCTGGATTTTTTGTTGTTGTTATTCTGTCTCTCACTGTTCAAATCAAATTTTATTGGCCACATGCGCCGAATACAATAGGTGTAGACATTACAGTGAAATGCTTACTTACAGCCCTTAACCAACAGTGCATTTATTTTTAATAAAAAAGTAAAATAAAGCAAAAAATTGTTGAGAAAAAAAGAGCAGAAGTAAAATAAAATAACAGTAGGGAGGCTATATATACAGGGGGGTACCGGTGCAGAGTCAATGTGCGGGGGCACCGGCTAGTTGAGGTAGTTGAAGTAATATGTACATGTGGGTAGAGTTAAAGTGACTATGCATAAATAATAAACCTACCATTAAAATTATAGACTGATCATGTCTTCGTCAGTGGGCAAACGTACAAAATCAGCAGGGGATCAAATACTTTTTTCCCTCACTGTACCTCACACAGCTGTCTGATACATTGCTGAACGAAGGCCTTATCGTGTAAGGGCCGGGGATCCTTCACTTTATCTGCACCTCCAAAGGCACTGTCGCGAGCCATGCCAGCACCACTGGTCCTGAAGAGAGTTAATCAGATCATTAGTATGCAACCATATGGAAATGCTACCAAGAGCTCTTAGTGACTGACTATATGCAAATTGACAGGCTCTCCATCAAATAGTTTTGTATTACTCCAATATGTAGTCGTCTAGTTGGGCAGTGCAAGAGAGGTCTTCCATGGTGATGAGTACGTATCTATAACAGTCATCTGACATACCATTCTAAGGTAGTATGTGGGACTTACCGACTTCCAAAAAAGCTGGTTCTCTCAGATGTTCCAGATTGGGGTTTAGGAATGTTCAACTTTCCGAAGGCTGGTTGTTTGCTGTAGTTAAACAAATATCCACATAAGTCTTATCATTGCAAAGACATAGCAATTGTACCTATTTGAAGCAGCGCCAAGGCCGCCAACTTACCCCTGAGGTGTTGCATCAACCATGCTCATTCGGTTGCTGTGGGTCACCCTCTGAGGGGCCTCCGAGAGCCTACTGCTGGATGCTCGGCTCATCCTTGTTCTGAATTAAGACATACACTATAAGAAACAGTCCAACTCTACAAGCTAACCACCATATAATTACATGGGGTCTCTGTGCTAATAACCACATAGGCCCATTGGTAGACCAAATTCATAACTAGCAAGTTAATTTTGAAGGAGACTAGCAAGCAAGCCATACCTTTCATTGTGCTAATATTTTTGTAGTTAGTAGTAGCCATCCAAAGAGAATAGTTTGCTATCTATATCCCGAGCCGTCACTCAGTTCTCTTGACGAGGCATTATCACTCAAATATTAATTTGACAAACTACACATTTACATTATTGATACCTTTTAAAAAGACAGGCACTGCATTATAATAGTAAATATTAACTGAAATATAAATGAAACATAAACAAAATCAGGGAGGTCTGATTCACTATGATTGTACTGCAAAAGCCTTTCCAAAGACAAAAATCTGTAACCTGAAAACAAAATCCATTGCAGTCACATAAAACAATCATAAACCTTTTGAATACTGTCAGTCAAATAAACACTGATGCAACTAAAGTAACATACATTTTCAAAACAACCACACCCCAAACAATTCCCCAGAGCATGGTCACAAATTGGTTGCCCTCACAAAATAGACTTGCACAAACAGACCCTGGTTCAATGAAAGTCAATGAACTAAGTATACCAGACCCAGATGCTATTGCATTGGTGTCTATGGGAGACACACCCAGTTAAGTAGACCAGAACTCCTATTTTTTTCAATGGTATACAGCCAGCATGAACTCTTCATTTTTCCAACATCTTTGGTAACACCACACAGACTTACACACTAGACTTTCAGTACAGCACTGGTTGGTCCTCCTGTGGCTATCACCAGCAACTGACTAGGGGTGCTTTTATGTCTTCCTGGCTGTCCACTAATAAGGGTCCCCAGGGAAACACTGACAACAACTGGGGTTCCTACCTTGTCACGCTGCCTTTAAATGGCTAGAGAATAGCTAGACAAGTCTATTGGTTTCTATGTAGCGTTCCAGTTCCACTTTTTTGCAGTCCTATGTCCTGTTTTAAAACCTGTTGATTGTTTTTTTAATATGTTTTTTTATTTTTTTTAGGGGGTAGGTCAGCTTTAATATTGGCAGATAGATTGTAACTTCCATCAATGTAATTGTCTGCATCAGTCCCACTCCCCCATATATTTTTTTCCTGCAAATATATATAGACATTAACACATAATGCATATAAACCATAAATTATAAATACTCTTACATTACACACATTAAGTACCAGTCAAAAGTTTGGACACACTCCTCATTCCAAGGGTTGTCTTTATTTTTACTCTATTTCTACATTGTAGAAATAATAGTTAATACAGAAAAACTATGAAATAACATTCAGTGGGAAAAACGTATTTCGGTCAGCCACCAATGTGCAAGTTCTCCCACTCAAAGATGGAGGAGGCTGAATTTTCATCATAGGTACACGTCAACTATGACAGACAAAATGAGATTCTTTTTCCAGAAAATCACATTGTAGGAATTTTTATGAATTTATTTGCAAATTATGGTGGAAAATAAGTATTTGGTCAATAACAAAAGTTTCTCAATACTTTGTTGTATACCCTTTGTTGGCAATGACACAGGTCAAACGTTTTCTGTAAGTCTTCACAAGGTTTTCACACACTGTTGCTGGTGTTTTGACCCATTCCTCCATGCAGATCTCCTCTAGAGCAGTGATGTTTTGGGGCTGTCGCTGGGCAACACAGACTTTCAACTCCCTCCAAAGATTTTCTTTGGGGTTGAGATCTGGAGACTGGCTAGGCCACTCCAGGACCTTGAAATGCTTCTTACGAAGCCACTCCTTCGTTGCCCGGGCGGTGTGTTTGGGATCATTGTCATGCTGAAAGACCCAGCCACGTTTCATCTTCAATGCCCTTGCTGATGGAAGGAGGTTTTCACTCAAAATCTCACGATACATGGCCCCTTTCATTCTTTCCTTTACACGGATCAGTCGTCCTGGTCCCTTTGCAGAAAAACAGCCCCAAAGCATGATGTTTCCACCCCCATGCTTCACAGTAGGTATGGTGTTCTTTGGATGCAACTCAGCATTCTTTGTCTTCCAAACACGACGAGTTGAGTTTTTACCAAAAAGTTATATTTTGGTTTCATCTGACCATATGACATTCTCCCAATCCTCTTCTGGATCATCCAAATGCACTCTAGCAAACTTCAGACGGGCCTGGACATGTACTGGCTTAAACAGGGGGACACGTCTGCACTGCAGGATTTGAGTCCCTGGCGGCATAGTGTGTTACTGATGGTAGGCTTTGTTACTTTGGTCCCAGCTCTCTGCAGGTCATTCACTAGGTCCCCCCGTGTGGTTCTGGGATTTTTGCTCACCGTTCTTGTGATCATTTTGACCCCACGGGGTGAGATCTTGCGTGGAACCCCAGATCGAGGGAGATTATCAGTGGTCTTGTATGTCTTCCATTTCCTAATAATTGCTCCCACAGTTGATTTCTTCAAACCAAGCTGCTTACCTATTGCAGATTCAGTCTTCCCAGCCTGGTGCAGGTCTACAATTTTGTTTCTGGTGTCCTTTGGCAGCTCTTTGGTCTTGGCCATAGTGGAGTTTGGAGTGTGACTGTTTGAGGTTGTGGACAGGTGTCTTTTATACTGATAACAAGTTCAAACAGGTGCCATTAATACAGGTAACGAGTGGAGGACAGAGGAGCCTCTTAAATAAGAAGTTACAGGTCTGTGAGAGCCAGAAATCTTGCTTGTTTGTAGGTGACCAAATACTTATTTTCCACCATAATTTGCAAATCAATTCATAAAAAATCCTACAATGTGATTTTCTGGAATTTTTTTCCTCAATTTGTCTGTCATAGTTGACGTGTACCTATGATGACAATTACAGGCCTCTCTCATCTTTTTAAGTGGGAGAACTTGCACAATTGGTGGCTGACTAAATACTTTTTCCCCCCACTGTATATGTAATCATGTAGTAGCCAAAAAAGTGTTAAACAAATCAAAATATATTTTATATTTGAGTTTCTTCAAAGTAGCCACACTTTGCCTTGATGACAGCTTTGCACACTCTTGGCATTCTCTCAACCAGCTTCACCTGGAATGCTTTTCCAACAGTCTTGAAGGAGTTCCCACATATGCTGAGCACATGTTGGCTGCTTTTCCTTCATACAGTGGTCCGATTCATCCCAAACCATACCTTATATCAGGCCTTTATTGTAGAGTGGCCAGACGGAAGCTACTCCTCAGCAAAAGGCACATGACAGCCCGCTTGTAGTTTGCCACAGGCACCTAAAGGACTCAGACCATGAGAAACAAGATTATCTGGTCTGATGAAACCAAGATTGAACTCTTTGGCCTGAATGCCAAAGGTCAGGTCTGGAGGAAACCTGGCACCATCCCTACGGTGAAGCATTTATTTCAGCGGCAGGAACTGGGAGACTAGTCAGGATCGAGGGAAAGATGAACGGAGCAAAGTACAGAGAGATCCTTGATGAAAACCTGCTTCAGAGCGCTCAGGACCTCAGACTGGGGCGAAGGTTCACCTTCCAACAGGACAACGACCCTAAGCACACAACCAAGACAGCGCAGGAGTGGCTTTGGGACAAGTCTCTGAATGTCCTCGAGTGGCCCAGCCAGAGCCCGGACTTGAACCCGATCGAACATCTCTGGAGAGACCTGAAAATAGCTGTGCAGCGCCGCTCCCCATCCATCCTGACAGAGCTTGAGAGGATCTGCAGAGAAGAATGGGAGAAACTCCCCAAATGCAGGTGTGCCAAGCTTTTAGCGTCATACCCAAGAAGACTTGAGGCTGTAATCGCTGCCAAAGGTGCTTCAACAAAGTACTGAGTAAAGGGTCTGAATACTTATGTAAATGTGATATTTAGTTTTTATAAATGTGCAAAAATGTATAAAAATCTGTTTTTGCTTTGTCGTTATGGGGTATTGTGTGTAGATTGATGAGGTTGAAAAAAACAATTTAATCCATTTTAGAATAAGGCTGTAGCGTAACAAAATGTGGAAAAAGTCAAAGGGTCTGAATACTTTCAGAATATACTGTATATAATACAGTACCCATACTTCCTGCGGCTATGCCTAAATGGAAGGAATTGACACTTGATTTAGACATTTTCATGCTGGTTGTGTGAGCTGGAGGACCTCTCAGGTTTGTTCAGTACTGAACTGGTCATGCCACGGAATTACCACCGGCTGGGCACACACTGGTTGAAGCAACGTTGTTTCCACGTCATTTCAATGAAATTACGTTGAACCAACGTGGAATAGACATTGAAATTACTAAATCAACTGTCAACTCCCCCATCCAGGACATGCTGCTATGGAAATTAAACACATATTTTTCTAAAATACTTATCCAGAAAGCCATGCAATTTATTTAATACTGGCACAATTTTCCTCGTCCAATTAAATTGTACTATTCTGTTACCCAGGTGGATTTTCGCTACAAGAACACCCTTGATAGTTGTCAATACTATAATACCTATAGTTGTTACTCAGGGAACTGTGGGGGTTCAACCAGAGAAGTGAGACTCCAAATTGACAGCAGCACCAATGGGAGGAGTTGGGGAAATGCCTGGTTTGAAACTGAAACTGTTATGTCCCCAGTGATAGACCTCTTAAAATGTGGTGAGTTAGTAATTCATCTGTGAGTTTGTAGAATTAAAGATACAACAAATTGGACAAATTTGATTTGTGAGTTCAATGTTCAATGATGCTATGTGTTGTGTCCATGTAACAGGGAAGCCAGCTGCTGTTGGATCTACACAGTATACTGAAATCCTAATAATTGGAGACTTCTGACACCGATACTGGTGAATCCAATAGATATCCAGTCACAGGCATTCTTCCTTTCATACGGTAATTAACAACATTCTAACTCCCTATACCTCTTTGATAACTTCAGAAACAACTAACCTCATCTGATCAGGTTGCTCTGTGATTAATGTAACAGAAGTATAATGTGTTATATATATATATTTTATTTATTTATTTATTTGCTTAGGTTACTTTTCATATTCACTTGGATTTTTGGGGTTAAGTTTAGATTCTACCTAATTCAACTGCTGTATGTCTGACTGTTTCACTTACACCACATGGCAAAAAGTATGTGGACACACCTTCAAATGAGTGGATTCGGCCTTGAATTCTCCATAGACAAACATTGGCAGTAGAATAGCCCGTACTGAAGAGCTCAGTAAATTTCAACGTGGCACCGTCATAGGATGACACCTTTCCAACAAGTCAGTTCGTCAAATTTCTGCCCTGCTAAAGCTGCCCCGGTCAACCGTAAGTGCTGTTATTGTGAAGTGGAAGCATCTAAGAGCAACAACAACTTAGCCTTGGTAGGCCACACAAGCTCACACAACGGGACCACCGAGTGCTGAAGTGCGTAGCACGTAAAAATTGTTTATCCTCGGTTCCAAACTCCCTCTGGAAGCTACGTCAGCACAATAACTGTTTGTCGGTAACTTCATTAAATAGGTTTACATGGCGTTGGCTGGAGTGGTGTAAAGCTTGACGCCATTGGACTCTGGAGCAGTGGAAATGCATTCTCTGGAGTGATGAATCACGCTTCACCATCTGCAGTCAGACGGACGAATCTGGGTTTGGTGGATGCCAGGAGAACACTACCTGCCCCAATGCATGGTGCGAACTGCAAAGTTTGGTGGAGGAGGAATAATGGTCTGGGGCTGTTTTTCATGGTTCGGGCTAGGCCCCTTAGTTCTAGTGAAGGGAAATCGTAACGCTACAGCATACAATGAAATTCTACAGGATCCTGTGCTTCCAACTTTGTGGCAACAGTTTGGGGAAGGCCCTTTCCTGTTTCAGCATGACAATGCCCCTGTGCACAAGGCGAGGTCCATACAGAAATAGTTTGTTGATATTGGTGTGGAAGAACTTGACTGGCCTGCACAGAGCCCTGACCTCAACCCCCATCGAACACCTTTGGGATGAATTGGAACGCCAACTGCAAGCCAGGCCTAATCGCCCAACATCAGTGCCCGACCTCACTAATGCTCTTGTGGCTGAATGGAAGCAAGTCCCCGCAGCAATGTTCCAACATCTAGTGGAAAATCTTCCCAGAAGAGTAGAGGCTGTTATAGCAGCAAAGGGAGGACCAACTCCATATAAATGCCCATGATTTTGGAATGAGATGTACGACGAGCAGGTGTCCGCATACTAGTATATGTCATTGTAGTGTTCCCCAGAACTGTCAGAGGTCCTACAACCTCATGGCCTTTGACCCTGATGGTGATTGTGTCAGATGCAGATATGAAGTGGCCACAGGAGGCTGCTGAGTGGATGGCTGGTGTGGAGTGAATGAGATGTGGAAACCATGTGTTTGATGAGTTTGATACCATTCCATTATTCCATTCCAGCCATTACTATGCACCCATCCTCCCCAATGAAGGTGCCACCAACCTCCTGTGGGAGTGGCCAGAGTCACTGAGTGTGATAGGTGTGACCAGCCCTCAGGCTTCTACCTGGATCAGGTAAGTGTTTGCAACCATGTCCTGGGCTGTGCTGACCTGTCATTGTAAGACTAACCACAACTCATTTACATTCAATTTATATGTGAAGCATATTGTGTTTGGTCTCAACCAACTGAAACATTTTGTGTTATAACCTCTTCAGTCTATAGGGCTCTTGCACTACGATACGGCTACACCTCGACACCTGGTGTCTACCCGTTTGAGCTAGTTGTGGAGGACTTCCCCAACCAACACATCACCATGTCTTACACCGATGGCTGTTGGTCCTCCAGTGCTCCGCTCTATGCAGGAAGAAGTCGACGTGCTCCCATCTAACAAACAACCGTCTCCTATCCCTGGTGGTGGAGTCAGACCCAGACAACAACACCACCTCCCCAATCAATCTCTTGGTGGTTGAGAACAACCACAAGATCCCCCACAACCACAACCAAAGCAGTGAATACCACTTCCACCCCCTGGTGGTGGACAGCAACCACCACCACCCGCCAACCCGCTTTAGCCAGACCATGGAGTTCCACCACCACTCCAGGAAGCATATATCCCTTCACTACTCCCCTCAGCAAACTCCCTCTGCAGTTCTCTTTTCTGGGTGAGAAAGAGAATCTTCTTCTGGTGGTAGAGAATGCATTGATTGGATGGAGATATTTATTCTACAACAAGCATGTCATTTACTTGTTTATGTTTGTATTATTTTCCAATTCAGTGCTCTTCTGCTAACTTTTGCAATGAGGGAGTGTACCTAACCAGGTTCGTGCAGCCGACACCACGCAATGGAGAGCATCTCCATGCCGAGGTCAACAAGGAGCTGGAGATCAGGGTCAACGCACAGGCTACATTCTCAACGTAAGGGACAACTTACTAATCTCCAAACAGTCTAAAAACCAAGAGTAAATCATACTTCCTACTGATATCTCTGATTGATTTGGATTTGTGTGGTTGTCTGTTTTGCCCCCTTGCTAGGATTAATGAGGTCATCATCAGTGGACCTTAGAACATCACCAACCACAGGACCACCCAATAGGAGTTTGTAATTCAGTGGAGTCCCACTCAAGATCTGGCAGAACATTTCCCCATTTGCTTCATTGCTGAGGAGGCATATGGGTTGGTGTCATGGCATCATGTTTCATGATCCTGCAGCATCACCAGAACTGCTCTGGTACTTCGATACGTTCTGCTACTTTCTGGTACTTCACTGTAGGCTACATTCCTCTAGAGCTTCATGTCTTTTATTAAATTGTCATTTCCCAATGCAGCTGAGAGAAGTTATTATTTGATGTGGACGTTTCACAATACAAATATGACATATTCTGTGTTTTACCCTGATCTTCTCTTTCATATCTGGCATTTATCAGTCAGAGCTGAGATGTGTCCTGATGGATGCAGAAATGGTTTGTAGATTATTTTATGATCAAGGATGATATGTTGCAGTGTACATATGCACCTTAATAACAGATAAGTGTGGTTTGCCACGAGACCACAATTACAGTGGAAGTGGAGAAGTGCTCTATCACTGGAATTCATGAGGACCATCTCCGTCTCTGCCTGTGACCTCCAACGCCTCTCCAACAGCACCCATGTCATCGGAGTCATCCCCCTCAATGCCTGTGGCACTCAGATACAGGTGAGTTTTAACTGAACTGGAAATAGCAAATAGCTTATTAGCAGCATGAATTTCTGCTTTGCAGAGGGGGTTATTGAATGAACAATTCTCTTATGGTTGCAGACCACGAGATGAAATTGCATTGAATCACATTCATTAGATCCATTGATTTACCGGCCGTAGGGCGGGCAGGCTCTAGTGTAAAATATTATATGGGGATGATAGCTACAGTGGCTTGCGAAAGTATTCACCCCCCTTGGCATTTTTCCTATTTTGTTGCCTTACAACCTGGAATTAAAAATAGATTTTTTGGGGGTTTGTATCATTTGATTTACACAACATGCCTACCACTTTGAAGATGCAAAACATGTTTTATTGTGAAACAAACAAGTAATAAGACAAAAAAACTGAAAACTTGAGCGTGCATAACCCCCCCCCCCCCCCCCCCCCCCCCCCCCCCCCCCCCCCCCCAAAGTCTATACTTTGTAGAGCCACCTTTTGCAGCAATTAAAGCTGCAAGTCTTTGGGGGTATGTCTCTATTAGCTTGGCACATCTAGCCACTGGGATTTTTGCCCATTCTCCAAGGTAAAACTGCTCCAGCTCCTTCAAGTTGGATGGGTTCCGCTGGTGTACAGCAATCTTTAAGTCATACCACAGATTCTCAATTGGATTGAGTTCTGGGCTTTGACTAGGCATTCCAAGACATTTAAATGTTTCCCCTTGAACCACTCGACTGTTGCTTTAGCAGTATGCTTAGGTTCATTGTCCTGCTGGAAGGTGAACCTCTGTCCCAGTCTCAAATCTCTGGAAGACTGAAACAGGTTCCCCTCAAGAATTTCCCTGTATTAATTTCCCTGTATTTAGCGCCATCCATCATTCTTTCAATTCTGACCAGTTTCCCAGTCCCTGCAGATGAAAAACATCCCCACAGTATGATGCTGCCACCACCATGCTTCACTGTGGGGATGATGTTCTCGGGGTGATGAGAGGTGTTGACGTTTTCCTTGATGGCCAAAAAGCTAAATTTTAGTCTCATCTGACCAGATTACCTTCTTCTATATGTTTGGGGAGTCTCCCACATGCCTTTTGGTGAACACCAAACGTGTTTGCTTATTTTTTTCTTTAAGCAATGGCTTTTTTCTGGCCACTCTTCCGTAAAGCCCAGCTCTGTGGAGTGTACGGCTTAAAGTGGTCCTATGAACAGATATTCCAATCTCCGCTGTGGAGCTTTGCAGCACCTTCAGGGTTATCTTTGGTCTCTTTGTTGCCTCTCTGATTAATGCCCTCCTTGCCTGGTCCGTGAGTTTTGGTGGGCGGCCCTCTCATGGCAGGTTTGTTGTGGTGCCATATTCTTTCCATTTTTTAATAATGGATTTAACATCCGTGGGATGTTCAAAATATCTGATTTTTTTTTTATAACCCAACCCTGATCTGTACTTCTCCACAACTTTGTCCCTGACCTGTTTGGAGAGCTCCTTGGTCTTCATGGTGCCGCTTGTTTGGTGGTGCCCCTTGCTTAGTGGTGTTGCAGATTCCGGGGCCTTTCAAAACAGGTGTATATATACTCAGATCATGTGACAGATCATGTGACACTTAGATTGCACACAGGTGGACTTTATTTACAGTGGGGAAAAAAAGTATTTAGTCAGCCACCAATTGTGCAAGTTCTCCCACTTAAAAAGATGAGAGAGGCCTGTAATTTTCATCATAGGTACACGTCAACTATGATAGACAAACTGAGAAAAAAAATCCAGAAAATCACATTGTAGGATTTTTAATGAATTTATTTGCAAATTATGGTGGAAAATAAGTATTTGGTCAATAACAAAAGTTTCTCAATACTTTGTTATATACCCTTTGTTGGCAATGACACAGGTCAAACGTTTTCTGTAAGTCTTCACAAGGTTTTCACACACTGTTGCTGGTATTTTGACCCATTCCTCCATGCAGATCTCCTCTAGAAGCCACTCCTTCGTTGCCTGGGCGGTGTGTTTGGGATCATTGTCATGCTGAAAGACCCAGCCACGTTTCATCTTCAATGCCCTTGCTGATGGAAGGAGGTTTTCACTCAAAATCTCACGATACATGGCCCCATTCATTCTTTCCTTTACACGGATCAGTCGTCCTGGTCCCTCTGCAGAAAAACAGCCCCAAAGCATGATGTTTCCACCCCCATGCTTCACAGTAGGTATGGTGTTCTTTGGATGCAACTCAGCATTCTTTGTCCTCCAAACACGACGAGTTGAGTTTTTTACCAAAAAGTTCTATTTTGGTTTCATCTGACCATATGACATTCTCCCAATCCTCTTCTGGATCATCCAAATGCACTCTAGCAAACTTCAGACGGGCCTGGACATCTACTGGCTTAAGCAGGGGGACACATCTGGCACTGCAGGATTTGAGTCCCTGGCGACGTAGTGTGTTACTGATGGTAGGCTTTGTTACTTTGGTCCCAGCTCTCTGCAGGTCATTCACTAGGTCCCCCCGTGTGGTTCTGGGATTTTTGCTCACCGTTCTTGTGATCATTTTGACCCCACGGGGTGAGATCTTGCGTGGAGCCCCAGATCGAGGGAGATTATCAGTGGTCTTGTATAAATAAATATGCCATTTAGCAGACGCTTTTATCCAAAGCGACTTACAGTCATGCGTGCATTCATTTTTGTGTATGGGTGGTCCCGGGGATCGAACCCACTACCTTGGCGTTACAAGCGCCGTGCTCTACCAGCTGAACTACAGCTTCCATTTCCTAATAATTGCTCCCACAGTTAATTTCTTCAAACCAAGCTGTTTACCTATTGCAGATTCAGTCTTCCCAGCCTGGTGCAGGTCTACAATTTTGTTTCTGGTGTCCTTTGACAGCTCTTTGGTCTTGGCCATAGTGGAATTTGGAGTGTGACTGTTTGAGGTTGTGGACAGGTGTCTTTTATACTGATAACAAGTTCAAACAGGTGCCATTAATACAGGTAACGCGTGGAGGACAGAGGAGCCTCTTAAAGAAGAAGTTACAGGTCTGTGAGAGCCAGAAATCTTGCTTGTTTGTAGGTGACCAAATACTTATTTTCCACCATAATTTGCAAATAAATTCATTAAAAATCCTACAATGTGATTTTCTGGATTTTTTTCTCTCATTTTGTCTGTCATAGTTGACGTGTCTGTACCTATGATGAAAATTATAGGCCTCTCTCATCTTTTTAAGTGGGAGAACTTGCACAATTGGTGGCTGACTAAATACTTTTTTTCCCCACTGTAACTAATTATGTGATTTCTGAAGGTAATTGGTCGCACCAGATCTTATTTAGGGGCTTCATAGCAAAGAGGGTGAATACGTATGCACGCACCACTTTTCCGTTATTTATTTTTTAGACATTTCTGAAACAAGTTATTTTTGTTCATTTCACTTCACCAATTTGGACTATTTTGTGTATGTCCATTACATGAAATCCAAATAAAAATCATTTTAATTACAGGTTGTAATGCAACAAAATAGGAAAAACACCAAGGGGGATGAATACTTTTGCAAGGCACTGTATATGGATATCTCTTTGGGTGAGATTTATTCACTCCTGGGTGTTTATCTGGATTATTAATATTGAACCTGGTCTAATGGAATATTCTCCCCAAAGACAAACTTGCTTGACTGATTTTGAATGGGTTCCCTCAGAGAAAGGGTCAATACATAGGGTTTTGATGAGGAGTGGGCCGGTGTCCTACAATTCAAAATCAAATAGCTAAATGATTCATGGTATGACCATCTTAAAACAATTCCATATGTTATCTTAGTAGAACCCCTCCCAACGGCTTAGACTTTTAGAGGTTAATGAAGAACCCCTGTTAGGTCACTTCCTGTAAGCAACAGGTGCACTTTTCTTTGTTTATTATAATTTTTCATTTCGAAGTGCTTGTGGGAAACCAGTATAAAAAATATGTAAATCATGAAAAAAGAAAGAAGCAGTACTACAATGTGACGTCATCTATGAATATGTAAATGTCTTTTGAACCCGACAGCAATTTCTTTTTTTTTTACTACAAACATTTGAGTTGAGCACGCCAATTTGTCTTTTTATGAATACGAGATATGCCATTAACAGATTTGTCTGAATGAAAGAGTATTAGTAAACGCTGTAATATCACTTTTTTTTTACCAGATGCAATGTGGACGAGACTGTTCAAATCTTCTCACCCCTTCAAGAGAGACATTTCCGGTTCGGAATGGAAGCTTTCAAATTCATCGGAATGCACATAAATGGGGACAGATTGCTGGATCATTCAATTGTCATATCTGGGTGATACCCTCTCAGTTCAGTTACCTTTGACCTCTCTGGCTGTAGGTGTATATCAGCTGTTCAGTAATCCTGTGTGAGGCTGGGAACCTTAACACCCGGTGCGCCCAGGGCTGCGTGATCTCCACCTCGCCCCAGTCTGCTGGTCACCACTACTGCAAGAGAGAGGCCCCTATGTTAACAGCCATGCACCCCATCTGCCAGGGTCCTTTGCGCCTGCAAAAGACTTCCGAAAGCTTAGGTAACTATAGCTGAGGGTAACTATAGCTCAGGACAAGCTAGAAATCAAATGTTGTACTTTGAATGGTTGAAGTTACAACAGTTCTTATCTGCAGTCTAGTCCTAACAGGCATTAGCATCTCAAGATACATCTCAGTCTGGATGGAAAGGTGTTTTTGTGTTTCGCAAAGAGTTTTGGTGAAAAGGGTGTCTTTCCAGTGACCAACATGAACATGAACATGGTGTTCATAGCTGGGTGTCTCCTAACAGCTGTTGCCATGTTGTGCGGAATGATCCTCTACAAGGCCAAAGCAACATGGGTCAAATACCAGCCGATTGGAAATTTAGTAAGATGACAACCATCCTTTCACATGTAGCCTGCAATATATAAAGAAGAATGAGAGGAAACATAATGTCTATCATTTGACACAGTGGTCTATGACTTTTACAACGAAATGTCAGCCTCTTTGGATAATTTTTAGACATTTAGCAGACACTCTTATCCTGAGCAACTTACAGTTTGTGCATACATTTTCATACCGATCCCCCGTGGGAATCGAACCCACAACCCTGGCGTTGCAAGCGCCATGCTCTATCAACTGAGCTACATGGGACTAGCTCTGAATCAATAAAGTATATCCATTCATCCATGAACATACTTAGTGGACACTCCAAATAACATGTTTTAAGAGTTAAGTGTTTGTTTCTTATCATCATCTACAGATGTAGGATCTTAATTTGATCAGGAAATATAAAATGTATATGTGTATTTGAGGTTTAAAAAGGCTTATGAAATTTGTAATTTCCACTTTGAAATCTCAGACTTGATTTTCCCTTACAAAAATGGTATCAATCCCTACAAAAATGTCCATTAATTATAATCCACAAAATAATTCACATTTCCTGTTGCCGCAGGATTATTTTCCTGCTGTAGCAAACTGGCTCAAATTAAGATCCTGTATTTTGGGAAAATAATCTGATATTTGAGTGTTCTCAGTTTATTAGGTACACCCATCTACTACCGGGTCGGACCCCTTTGCCTCCAGAACAGCCTGAAATATTTGGGGAAATCTAGAAGGTGTCAGAAACGTTCCCCAGGGATGTTGGTGGATGCTGACGCAATGGCATTGCGCAGTTGCTGCAGATTGGACGGCGGTACACTCATGCTGCGAACAGACCGTTCCTTCTCATCCCAAAGATGCTCTATTGGGTTGAGGTCTGGGGACTGCGCAGGCCACTCAAATGAACTGAACTCGCTGTCATATTCCAGGCGATGTTGTCCAGTGTTGGTGATTGCTTGCCCACTAGAGACGCTTCTTGTTGTTTTTAGCTGATAGGATTGGAACCCGGTGTGGTCGTGGCTACAATAGCCCATCCGCGACAAGGATCGTTGAGTTGTGCGTTCCGAGATGCCATTCTGCACACCACTGTTGTACTGCACCATGATTTGTCTGTTTGTGGTCCGTCTGTTAGCTTGCACTAATTTTTCCATTCTCTTTCGACCTCTTTCATCAACAAGCTGTTTTCGCCCACAGGACTGCCGCTGACTGGATGTTTTTTGTTTGTCGCACCATTCTCTGTAAACCCTAGACACTGTTGTGCGTGAAAAGCCCAGGAGGGCAGCCGTTTCTGAGATACTGGATCCGGCGCGCCTGGTACCGATGATCATACCACGCTCAAAATCACTTAGGTCACTCGTTTTGCCCATTCTAACGTTCAATCGAACAGTAACTGAATGCCTTGATGCCTTTCTGTCTGCTTTATATAACAAGCCACGGCCACGTGACTCACTGTCTGTAGGAGCGATCCATTTTCATGAACGGGGTGGTGTATCTAATAAAAATATGTTTGATCATTGTTACTTTCTGGGAATCTTTCTATATAGCCCAGGGGCTGTTCAAAATACTAAAATCAGGACCAGAGATAAAGTCAATGTATTTGTTATAGTTGGGATAAATCAAAATGGGAATCTGCTGAAATAAATGGCCTAATTGTTTTTGTTTATATGATGAGATGAACTACTGTAAGATGGCCCTCGTTTTCAATATATGATTGTATGTGTATTAATTGTAGCCATGGTGTCTTACACATGAAAACATCTTTGTATATTTAAAGATGGAATCTGCAGTAGGGGGAAACAGCGACACTGTCCACCCCACGGGAGTTGTTATGGTTTTTGTTTTGTAGACAAACTACAGGTGTGTCGCGCATCAAGGTAAATAAAAAAAGTGCATTTCATATGCTGATGTTCTATCGCGCTTGCAATGATGTCCGAGGGGGGAAAAAACAGTGTTTGTTTGCAGTAACTTATTTGTTGGTGTAATATCACAAACGGACGTGGTAGATTCACCATTAAGGATTCCAGATTTAAACTAACTTATCCCACATATTGACTAATGAATGTGATTAGCTAAGCTCCTGAATGTGCACTGTCCTCTGCTAAAGAGGTGTGCTCTTTAACTCTGTCAAACTCAGGTGTAAAAGAGGAGCTTTTGACGTCAGAGGAAAAGCGCTTTCTAGTCTCTAAATCCAAATGGTGTGTGTGTGTGTGTGTATGTATTTGTGACATTATTCATGACATGATTAATGAAGGGGACTTTTTACACAACCAATTTAATCCTTGCCTAATTCATTGATTCATTTCTTCTTGGCCTGTCTGTCAGTTGAAATCCCTTTTAAACCTACTTCAAACAAATGGACGCTACCAATTCTATTAAAATACTTTTTCACAGACATTGCTCAGGCATAGTCTGTGCCTCTAACTAGTGTTTTATCCAAGTATTGCTTCATCACTCAGCTCTAAGTATTTAGCGCCCTCTGCTGCCCCTACATAGTATTGCTCCAAAATCCATGGATGCCGTTTTCATAGAGGGTCAGATCCTAATCTCGCATACCAAAAATATGAGTTCTTAATGCAGATGTCAGGTTAGGATTGTTTTTACCTGAGAGAGTGCATCATCAGTTTGGTTCCTTTGGTTAAGTACATTTTATTGATTGTTTAATTTTATTTGCATTTTTAGAAAATATACTAATTTCAGTCCTGTAAAATATGAATTAAACAGATTAAATCTGCCATTGTTCTATTGACCAACTACTAGATTACAGAAACAATAATGATAAACAATACACGTCATTGCCATCTTCTCAGTCTTCACTGTTATCATACACCATAGGAAAAACATCCTTACAACACACTCATATTCATTTTAACCTTATTGTAAATAAAAACATGAATGTTACCTGTTACCATGTAATGAATTGGTAATAACAATGGTTAGTGCAGAGTTTGTTCACTTATATTCAATATTTACATAATACTGGTTCAGAATACATAACAACTCATTTTTACAGTAACAGTGTCACAGATTGTCAATAAAAGAGAGCGGAGGGAGAATAAGAAATATGATCTAAGATTTTTGTACAACAAGAAGTGCAAGAACTAACAGGGCATGAGAATACCAGAGGGCCCTCAAAGACCTCTGTGTGTGTGTGTGTGTGTGTGTGTGGATAAGAGCGTCTGCTAAATGGCTGAAATATAAATTAAAAAATGTGTGTGTGTGTGTGTGTGTGTGTTTGTGTGTGCGTGTCCTCTGCAAAGGAATGAAAGCAAGTGCAACTAAGTATGAGGGAGGAAAAAAGCAGAGTGTACATGCATGTTTCGTAAATTTGAAATAAATTAATACTGTATAACCACAGTTGGGTCTATGGTGACCAAGTTCATAATTTCGCTGCTCTCTCTGTCTCTTTCCATCTCTTCACTCTCCTCTCCCTCTAGTTGTCCAGAATGTTGTCTTCGCCTCCTGTCCGTTGTTGTTATGACGACGTCTTACCGTTGTCGTTGGCGGGCTCTGGACTCTCAGGACCTAGACAGAGACAGATTTGAATGTCAGAGTCCTTGTTTGGCCTCATCTTGTCTGCCATTAAGTATTAGAAACGTCACTCTCACTCATCTTCCCAAACAATGCCTAGGACACAGTCAACTGGATTTTAATGGCCCAGCACAGTCCAGTGTTTTTTCTGACCATGTGACACATTGGGTAGACTGTCAATGCCATGTCAATTCTCTCTTTCACCACTGAGTCCTGAAATGGACTTTGAACACATACACACATACACACTTTCTGTACTTACAGTATAGTAGCTTATGAACATTCACATGCTTTCACATACTCATACAGTATGACACAGAGAGGGGTCCAGAGAAGCAGATACATACAGACAGTCCTGGGGTAGTCCAGAGATCTGTTTCTGTTCTGGGGGAGTCTGGGTTTTTTCACAGGGGGTTTGCGATCTGAGGACCCTGTCTTCAGATCGTTGGGGCTGTCCCGTTCCATGCCTGAAGGGAAATGATATGAGACATACACACAGGGCCACACAGACAGTGACTGGTGACAGGGGCTAGTTGCAGTAATGTAAGAGTCATGATAAGCAGAGCTCTATTGGAAAGTCCATGGCAGTGTGACGGACAGAGGAATGGACAGAGTACCTAACAGACACAATGAGTCAGCATTCAATGGCTGAAATAGCAAGCAAATAAATGCATCAAATCACAAATCGGAATTCAAAAGATAGTGTAAAACAAGGCACATGCATGCAGGGATCTGTAGAGACAAACATGTACAGTGCCTTTGGAAAGTATTCAGACCACTTGACTTTCTCCAAATTCTGTTACGTTACAGCCTTATTCTAAAATGGATTAAAAAAACTTTAAAAAACAGCAATATACACACAATACCCCATAATGACAAAGCAAAAAAAGTTTTTTATAAATTTTACCAAATGTATTAAAAATAGAAAACAGAAATAACTTATTTACATAAGTATTCAGACCCTTTGCTATGAGACTCGAAATTGAGCTCAGGCGCATCCTGTTTCCATTGATCATCCTTGAGATGTTTCTACAACTTGATTAGAGTCCACCTGTGGTAAATTCAATTGATTGGACATGATTTGGAAAGGCACACACATGTCTATATAAGGTCCCACAGTTGACAGTGCATGTCAGAGCAAAAACCAAGCCATGAGGTCGAAGGACGTCCGTAAAACTCTCATACCATGAGAAACAAGATTCTCTGGTCTGATGAAACCAAGATTGAACTCTTTGGCCTGAATGCCAAGCATCATGTCTGGAGGAAACCAGGCACCGCTCAGCACCTGGCCAATACCATCCCTATGGTGAAGCATGGTGGTGGCAGCATCATGCTGTGGGGATGTTATTCAGCGGCAGGGACTGGGAGACTAGTCAGGATCAAGGGAAAGATGAACGGAGCAAAGTACAGAGAGATCCTTGATGAAAACCTGCTCCAGAGCGCTCAGGACCTCAGACTGGGGTGAAGGTTCACCTTTCAACAGGACAACGACCCTAAGCACACAGCCAAGACAACGCAGGAGTGGCTTTGGGACAAGTCTTTGAATGTCCTTGAGTGGCCCAGCCAGAGATCGGACTTGAACCCGATCGAACATCTCTGGAGAGACCTGAAAATAGATGTGCAGCAACGCTCCCTATCTAACCTGACAGAGCTTGAGAGGATCTGCAGAGAAGAATGGGAGAAACTCGCCAAATACAGGTGTGCCAAGCTTGTAGCGTCATACCCAAGAAGACTCGATGCTGTAATCGCTGCCAAAGGTGCTTCAACAAAGTACTGAGTAAAGGGTCTGACTTATGTGAATGTGATATTTCAGTTTTTAATTTTTGATAAATTAGCAAAAATGTATACAAATCTGTTTTTGCTTTGTCATTATGGGGTATTGTGTGTAGATTGATGAGGGGAAAAAAACAATTTGATCCATTTTAGAATAAGGCCGTAACGTATCAAAATGTGGAAAAAGTCAAGGGGTCTGAATACTTTCCAAAGGCACTGTATGTACAGCACACATTCACACATGCAGTGAACCCACACACGCTCACGCTCACACATACCCATGTCAATTGTGTCTGCCTTCCTATTGCGATGCAGCTTCAGCGGATAACCATTTCTTCCTCCCTCCTCATCTGATTAAATAGTCAACATTTCAACCAGCCACCATCATCATCATCATCATCATCAACAACAATACTACAATATTCATAGCCATTGATTATTTTTGGGACTGCATTCACATGGTCCCCATTACATTTACATTTACATTTACGTCATTTAGCAGACGCTCTTATCCAGAGCGACTTACAAATTGGATTACATTTATATTAACATTTTAGTCATTTAGCAGACGCTCTTTTCCAGAGCGTTATCAATTATCACAACAATGAATCATAATTTCTTAATAAAACCATCTTCAGTGATATTACATCATAGTGGTACCTTGACAATCAGCACGATCAGGAGATTCAAACACAGGCTTGGTAGAAGCAGGTGGCACAGGAGGAATACTTTTCTTCTCATTAGTCCCTTCATCTTGACTGACAGGAGCATTAGACAAATCAAAAGAGGGCTTGGCAGAGGCAGGTGGAACAGGAGGCATGGTTTTCTTCTCATTGGTGGTTTCCTCAGGCGGAGTGACAGCATGCAGTGTCTTTGGAGAGGTCTTATCTTTACCGGGCTGTGGAGAGAGATTGTATGTATTGTTAAGAGTAATTGAGACAGACAGACTCACAAACAACGATACAAGAAGGAAGGAAGGAAGGAAGGAAGGAAGGAAGGAAGGAAGGAAGGAAGGAAGGAAGGACAGACAGACAGACAGACAGACAGACAGACAGACAGACAGACATACACACACACACACACACACACACCTACCTTTTCAGGAATGGGGGGACGCTGCCCCTCTGCCCCTCTGTCTTTCTGTACACCCTCACGTCTCTTTTCATTCTTCTCCTCTTCCACCCTGTCTCCCTCTATCCATCCTATATCATCTGTTGATTTCTCTACAAAGTAAAAGAGTGTGAAACAAAAGTTAAATTGTAATTCTATAACAACTCCACATCCAAGTTCTAGCACATGCAGTACACAGAGCCAAATACACCTTGTTATTTATGTTGCAGTACCGGAGCTTCCCTGCAGGTGTCTCTGTCTAATGCTGGCCAGGCTGGGCTTGCTGCTTTGAGAAGGGGGTTCTGGTTTCTGTCCACAGTGGGCGCTCTCCTGCCTGTCCTCCATGGACTCCGTCCCCTCTGTCCCCTTTGTCCCTCTGTCCACCTCCGTCTGTGTGTCTGTCTGAGCGCTGGGCATCGGCAGGTCCTGACTGACTGGCTCTGTCTGTCTGTTAGTCTGTTTGTCAGTTTGTATGTCAGCCTGTTTGTCTGTCAGAGAAGCGGAGGACATCGCATGTCCATTGGCATGGGTCTCTGTCTTGGTGTCTGATGCAGTCTGTCTGTCCTTCTGTCTGTTTGTGTCTCTGCCCACTGGTCTGATCTCAAAGCTACTGTCTGAGTCCTCATCTTCTGCTGCGATACAACTGTATACCATGCCGACCAGATCTGAAGGCTGGAAGGTAGGAGAGAGACAGAGGGAAGAGCGTCGATTGTAAGGCTCACATTGTGTCGTATATGCAATTATTATTATTTTTACAGGGTGGGTCACCATTGAGACCAGGGTCTCATTTACAAGGGAGCCCTGCGAACATGAACATACAAAATTTAATACATATAATGTAAGATAATAATATCAATATAATACAATGAATACAACAAGATTAATCAAAACAAACACAACTCTCACATATCACCTCGCTTAAACTCGATCTAAACTTCTGGCCCTATTCATGAGCCAGGGACAGACCTTCAGTGGTACGTTCCTACCTGTCTCTGTGTGAGGCTGTGGGGACTGGGCCTGGCCCCCCTCATCCCAGGCAGTGGTGTGCCCTGGATGGGCCTAGGGGACGGCATCATCCTCCCATTTGCTCCCACCTCAATGATGGCCTCCCCCTTCCCAGGATCCTTAGGATGCTGAATCATAGAGTACACGTTCTCTGAGCCACTACTGAGAGAGAGAGAGAGAGAGAGAGAGAGAGAACGAGAGAGAGACTTATTGTAAACTGATAAACTGATAATAAACAATTACTAAATATTTGTTGTTAACAATTCATGAACCATTTATAACAAGGACCTGTTATCATATTTTAGTCAATAAATCAATAAAATGTGTGCATGACTTTTCATGACTCTCCGTACTCTGTTTCCTGATTGGAGATGGTGGAGTTGCGATTCTTGCGGAACCCGGAGAAGATTGACAGCACGCTGCGTCTCTTCTTCCTCCTCAGGGACTGAGCTTGATGGAGTAGTGACAGCTGACTGGTGTGGAGAGATAAAGATATGGGCAGCTGGGTCAGTGAGAGTTCGTGTGTGTGTGTGTGTGTATATGTGTGTGTGTGGGTGCGTGCGTGTGTGTGTGTGTGTGTGAGTTGTGCATAGCCTACCTGTCAGGCAGGACTCTCTTGGTATAGAAATCAGGCAGTCCATCCTCCAGCATGTTGACTCCTCCGTTCTCTGAACAGTACTAAGAGGACAGAGATAACAGGTTTACACTACAGCCACCAACACAATGCTGCTGTCACACTGAAACTACTGCCGTGCTATCATGTACAATTATCATGTATCATCTACATGCACCCTATCCCCTATATAATGCACTACTTTTGACGAGGGCCCATAGGGCTCTGGTCGAAAGAAGTGCACTATATAGGGAAAAGAGTGCAATTTGGGACACTGCCGAGCAATCTGATATGCTGCCAACAGAGAGATGCCTTGGGACATTGCAGATTGGAGAACATCATAAACTAGTGAGTCATGAGCTAATACGATAGATTCACAGTCATAAAGGATCTTATTTTTGGAATGCCTCTGGCATGAAAAACCAGGATGACTAAAATTCTAAAATACAAATAAATGGTATTAGAGAGGTGAATAGAAAATACATGTAACTTTGTTTGACTCAGAGGTGTGGTCAACCCCTACCCCCTGGGTACTTAAGTAGAACTAAAATGATTGGATAGGTAGTGTATGTATCACATTTCACCAAGCCTAGTGGGTAAGTTGGAACTTTCAACATTACAAGCTTTCAGATGTGCTTAACCTTAGGGGCTAGGGGTTGATTTGGGATTGGGTCTGGCTATTCTTAACAGGTAAGAGGCGACTCACTGTTTCCAGGGGGACTTGTCCTCGACAGTGCCTTCGTGGGGGCCGTGGCCTGACCTGTGTCACGTGGCGCAGTGGTGCACCCTGGGTAGGCAGGGTGGACAGACCCTCCCATGATGATGAGCAGGATAGGGGGGCAGAGTGAGACGGGGCAGAGGGAGGCGGGGAGGAGGTGGGATCGTCTCCAAGACCTAAGGGAGGGAGAGGAGATAAACGTTGGGTCAAATTCATGTTAATCCACATAAAATGCCCTGCATGAAAACCTTATAATTAAGGTAAGATACTCAATCTGGTTGACACTGGACGAATCCTTCTGGTTCTGGAGCTACGTTTCTTGATGGCGATGGTGTCCTAGTAAGACACAGAGAGAGGAAAGGCAACATGATAGAGCAATGGAAAAATGCACTCATACACACACACATATACACCTGCCCACACACTTACAATGTTCATGCCCAGGCCTTCCTCGTCGGGGAAGTCCAGTGAGTCTGTGATTCTGAAGTTTCTGATGGTGCGTCTGTCTGTCCCTGCGCCATCCCAACGCTTCACCTGGGACACCTGACACAGCTAAGACAACAGAGAGATTTACAATACTATATACTGGTGGGAACTGGTCTGGTCTTAGACTATGCTCACTAGTGTGAGATAGTGGGAAGATGAAACTGAGATTGAACAAGTCACTTGTTCTAGAGGTACACAGAGGTCACAGAGGTACACAGAGGTACACAGAGGTACACAGTGCATAGAGGTAAAGACACATAGAGCACAGATAGAGAGTAGTGTGTGTGTTAGTACCAGGGTTTTGTGAGTGGTGTAGAGCTTCTGAAGGATCTGATCCACTATGGAGTTGGTCAGATAGGAGACCACAGACAGCTTCACGTCCCTGAGAGAGAGAGAGAAGAGAGAGAGAGAGAGGAGAGAGCGAGAGCGCGCGCGATCTGATCGCTATATAGAGAGCTATGAGATAGAAGATAGGAGATATATATAGCTGCTGTCGAGCGCTACTATATCGTTTGCTCTACTCTCTCGTGCGCTCTCTCTCTCTGCTCTGCTCTCTCTTCTTTCTCTCTCCTCTCTCTCCTCTAATCTCTCGCTAGCGAGATATAATAGCGACCACACATTAGACCCAACCAAATCATGAGAAAACAAAAAGATAATTACTTGACACATTGGAAAGAATTTACAAAAAAAACACAGCAAACAAGAATGCTATTTGGCCCTAAACAGAGAGTTTTTTTTAAAACCTATATTTAACCAGTTAAGCCAGTTGAGAACAAGTTCTCATTTACAACTGGGACCTGGCCAAGATAAAGCAAAGCAAGTGGCAGAATACCTGACCACTGTGACTGACCCAAAATTAAGGAAATATTTGACTATGTACAGACTCAGTGAGCATAGCTTTGCTATTGAGAAAGGCCGTCGAAGGCAGACCTGGCTCTCGAGAAGACAGGCTATGTGCACATCGCCCACAAAATGAGAAACTGAACTTCCTAACCTCCTGCAAAATGTATGACCATATTAGAGACACATATTTCCCTCAGATTACACAGACCGACAAAGAATTCGAAAACAGATCCAATATCTATCGGATGAAATACCACGGTGTGCAATCACAGCAGCAAGATTTGTGACCTGTTGCGACAAGAAAAGGGCAACCAGTGAAGAACAAACACCATTGTAAATACAACCTATGTTATGTTTATTTATTTTCCCTTTTGTACTTTAACTATTTGCACATCATTACAACACTGTATATAGACATGATATGACATTTGTTATGTCTTTATTCTTTTGGAACTTTTGTGAGTGTAATGTTTACTGTTCATTTTGTATGGTTTATTTCACTTTTGTTTATGATCTATTTCACTTGCTTTGGCAATGTAAACATGTGTTTCCCATGCCAATAAAGCCCCTTAAATTGAAATTGAATTGTGAGAGAGAGAAGGGGAGGTGGTGGGGGGGGGGGGGGGGGGAGTGAATACTTCCTTCATTCTCTATTCACATCCTTCTCTTTAGTCTAGACCCTTTTCATCCCCTCCCTCTTTTCTTTCCTCCCCCTCTTACTCCAGGGCTCTGTTGACGTCCTGTGCTGCTCTCTCCATCAGGGCGGTGCGGATGGTGGAGCGAGGGATGGAGACGCGTTCTGAGATGGAGGAGAGCGGAGGGTTGAGTCGCTCAGCTGCGGAGGAGGACATGGGACACAGCTCTCGACACAGAGACACCATGGAGTCCACTATCACCTGGGAATTATCAGTCAATAAAGCCATCAATGTGTTATTCCCTCATTCAATAAGTCCTGTCTATGATAAGAATCACAGTACCCACATTTCCTTATCAACAACCTTGGCCAGGTCTCCTGCCAGAGAATGTATATATCCATCTATCTTTTAATGAATCCATCATAGTCTAACTCCAACCATGCAGGGGGAGAAGAGTGTTGAGTGGTCTACCTGTAGTTCCTTGTCAGCAGCCTTGGCCAGCTCTCCTGCTAGAGAATCCAGTTTCTGTCTGACAGGCCCGTCCACTGAGAGAACATGGGCCAGCTCACACAGAGATGGATAGAGCTGAGAGGGAGAGAGGGAGAGAGAGAAGCTTAGAATATATAAACACACATACATATCCATATTCAACACACACACACACACATGCATACGCACACCGTATAGCTGAGAGAGACATAGAGAGTGGTTTAGAATATATAAACACGCACGCATACGCACACACACACTTCACACGCATACGCACACACACTTACCGCACGGGAGTTTCTGGCCTCCTTCAGGACCTGTCTGGCAGCCTGCAGCTCCTCTCCTTCCTCTGAGCCTCGGAGAACACACACCTGCTGCTGCACACGCACACACAGCCGCTCCATCACCTGACACACACAGCCGTCAGTCAGTGGGGTTTTGACTCAAAGATTGTCTTCTCGCCAAAATGTCACAGTTTACATAAGCACACACAGTATTTGTACCTGTTCAGCAGTGCTGGTGACCAGGCCTTGGTGCAGACGCAGAGACTGTTTCTGAGAGAACCTCTGGGTCTGGTTGTTCCTCAGCAGAGCACGCTGGATCTGAGAAACAGAGGGAGAGAGAGGGAAAGGCGGAATGTGGGAGGTGAAAGAAGAAGAGCAAAAGAGAAGAGATGGTTTCACAAAGCAAAGTGAATAGGGCAGAAATAAGAACGTCTGATGGATATGAGACATAAGTTGCTGACCACAGTCAAGATGTCATGGTGTGATGATGTCATGGTGTGATGTCACAACCCAGGTAACCCACCTTGGTCAGCGCTTGGTCAATCTTCTCAGGGGCACTCCGGTAAGCCTGTGTGACATCGCTGAGGGGAATGGCCATGTACTGCAGGGTGAAGTTACTGTCAAGAGAATGAGTGAGCAAAAAAAATTAGAGAATTTAAATTTAAAAAAAAAATACCTCTATACCTTTTCTATGAATAATTATGAGTAATTGCCTTTAACTAGCACAGAATGGAAATGCTTGATGCAGTAGCAGATATCACTCTAATGTCTTGTCCTCTATATTGGGGCTCCCGAGTGGCGCAGCGGTCTAAGGCACTGCATCTCAGTGCTTGAGGCATCACTACAGACCCACTGGTTCGATTCCAGGCTGTATCACAACTGGCCGTGATTGGGAGTCCCATAGGGCGGCGCACAATTGGCCCAGCGTCGTCCGGGTTTGGCCGGTGTAGGCCGTCATTGTAAATAAGAATTTGTTCTCAACTGACTTGCCTAGTTAAATAAAGGTTAAATAAAAATGTTAATTCTTGTCATTAGAACTTAAACAGGCACCCTTGCCTCACAAACAGGTCAGGGTGCTGATGAAATGCTGTGCAATGACAAACACTTGACTGCAAGGCAAGCTCAAAGATATACGTCTTTGACTTTTATCTATGTCCCTCGTGTTCAAGTTTGTTTGAGTGAGTGGGTGGGTGAGAGCGTGTGTGTGTGTGTGTGTTGGGGTGTGTGTATCTTACTGTTCCAGGGCCCGAGCCACATCTTGAAATCCTGTAGCCGTGGTGTTATTGCGATCCCACGTCACACTCCTTAGAAGGATGAAATTGGAGGAAGAAAGAGAAAAGGAGACATAATTAGATCAATAATTGACTTGAAAACCAAAGCTCACATACATGACACCTGTCAAATTACAAATTCAGAACTAGCACAGCATGAATAACCAAAGAAGTGCTTGTATGTTGCAAGTTGCACTGTGTTCACTACAGAGTGTATTGACAGCCGTAACACAACCCGTATCATTGCATTGTCACTGCATTAACTACGGCTTAGCAACTGTATAATGAGCTTTCCCCATCTCTTCTCTCTCTCTCTCTCTCTCTCTCTCTCTCTCTCTCTCTCTCTCTCTCTCTCTCTCTCTCTCTCTCTCTCTCTCTCTCTCTCTCGCCCTCTCTCTCTCTCTCTCCCCCTCTCCCCCTCTCTCCCTCCCTCTCTCCCTCCCCCTTTCTCCCTCCTCTCTTTCTCTCCTACTTTCCCTAGCTCCCTCTATCTTAACCTGAGTGTAGTGTTGATCTGCAGGGCTTTGCTGAGCATCTTAGCCCCCGCATCCTCCAGGCTGTTCCCACTTAGGTCCACCTTGCGCAGGCAGGTGTTGCTGCCCAGAGCGTTCACCAGCACTGTGCCCCGAGAGCGCAGGCGCGAGTCCGCCAAAGAGAGGGACTGCAGGGCCTGAGGATGGAGAGATGGAGAGAGGGATGAGAGGGAGAAGGGGCAAGAGAGGATAAGTTGGGAAGTGTGTGTATTTGTGTGTGTGTGTGTGTATGAGTGCTGTATGTTTGTGTTATGTTTGTGAGTGATCAGCATCAACAGCAGTAAATAATTGAGTGAGCTCATCATGGTGTATGGTGATGGTGTATCTGCACTGAGAGAGAAGCCCGGAGCTGAGAGAATAAAGCACGTCCCAATGAATCATTCACTAGGGCTGGAGAGAACATACAAAAGTTAGTGTGTGTGTATGTGTGTGTGTGTGTGTGTGTGTGTGTGTGTGTGCCTGTGTAGAGTATGGCAGTGTGTGGGTGAGAGTACATAAATATACCTGTATCGTACGTGTATTAGTTTGTGTGTGTCTCAGTATGTGTTCAAATACATTATGAAACTCACACACTCTTCCTCCTGCACTAACTGCACTAGTTTCTGCAGAATTTCATCCAGCACCCTGCAGACACAGAATTGGCAGTGTTAGATAAAATATATATCTTCCCAGTGCGTGCTTCTAAGTGCCTGTGAAGGATGGATTACTGTCCCTACCTGCCCTTGATGTTGAAGTTCTTGCCCAGCAGCAAATGTTTGAGGGAGGGGTGTCTGGAGAAGGCTGGGATGACCCCAAGTAGATCAGTATCCAACCCTGAGAGACACATATACACAGTATATCAGCTGATACATATAAACTGGCATTTACGTTAGCCCTGAAAAGGCTCATAAGACTGTGGCATGCGTAGGGAAGAGAAGGGTGAACGCTCACCGTTGTCTGAGATGTCCAGAGTACCAATACAGGCCACTCTGGGAAACAGCTCCTGGAGCACCCCAGCACCCACAGACCTCAACTGAGAGAGAGAGAGAGAGAAAGAGAGAGAGAGAGAGAGAGAGAGAGAGAGAGCGATAGAGAAGAGCGCTAGAGAGAGAGAGAGGAGACTCTCTCTTCCGATCTCTCTCTCCGCTCTCATAGCTGCGATCAGGAGAGACCGGAGGAGTCTAAATCAATCAAATGGAGAGACAGGGGCAAGGTAATTCAGACAGACAGGCACCGTACCTCACAGCCGCTGATGTCCAGGTGTAGGTCACTGATGTGAGGGTTGGAAGACAGGCCAAGGAAGAGAGCTCTGAGAGAGGCAGAGATGGAGAAAGAGAAAGAGGAGGTCAAAAAAGGTCAATGCATAGCAAACTCATTTCAAATTGTTTTCTTAATTACCGTGACTGATTTTCCATTAACTTCCCTAAAATGAAACCATGTGGATTTCTATTCACACACACTGAGGGGTGCTACAGCAATCTTAAAGGATTTGGGAGAAAAGGAGCTTAGAGATTTCTAAAACTACTTCGCCAAGGAACAGTAAGTGCTTAAACTAAAATGCAGGAAGCGTGGTAAAGTGCTACACAAAAAAAGACACCTTCGCTTGATAGGGAGATTGGATTTACCAACAAAACACTTTTAACAATACAAACATGTTAAAGAATTCATGAAGTGTAGGTAAATAAATTATGGACTGACGTAAACTGAGGTAGCCCAGAGTGAGTCCGACATTTTGGCAGGTGGCCAGAGCGTAGTCCCTATCTCACCTCAGAGTGTCCGGAGGGAGCTTCATAGAAGACAGGTTGACGTGCGTAAGACTGAAGGCTGAACTGAAGAACTGCCTGAAGACAGGAAGAGTCTCCCTAACTTTCCTGAAAGAGAGAGAGAGGGAGAGAGAGAGAACACCATTGTAAATACAACCCATATTTATGTTTATTTATTTTCCCATTTGTACTTTAACTATTTGCAAATTGTTACAACACTGTATATATACATAATATTACATTTGAAATGTCTTTATTCTTTTGGAACTTCTGAGTGTAATGTTTACTGTTAATTTGTATTGTTTATTTCACTTTTGTTTACAATCTATTTCACTTGCTTTGGCAATGTTAACATATGTTTCCCATGCCAATAAAGCCCTTCAAATTGAAATTGAGAGAGAGAGAGAGAGAGAGAAAGAGAGAGAGAGAGAGAGAGAGAGAGAGAGAGAGAGAGAGAGAGAGAGAGAGAGAGAGAGAGAGAGAGAGAGAGAGAAATGGAGGGAGAGAGAGATAATTTAAGACAGAGGCAGAGATATAGACAGAGGCAGAGAAGTGAGAAGAATAGACATTTTATATTTAGGCTTGGTCACCATTATTGCACATTCAACTGCAGTAAATGGCAAACCTTCAAAAAACAATACTATAACATCAGACAATGTCAACAACACGAAACAAGTTTAATTTACAAACATAGTTTTGTATCAAACCATCTGTTAACACAACTGAGCGTGAAATATTTTCCTTGTGGACACATACACACACTTCAGCGGCCCATATTGGTTTTACACCAGCTAACTAATTCTGAGCATGTCAGGAAAAGCCCTCTGAGCCATACCAGATAACAGAAGCGTCCAGGCATTTCATTGTAATACAGGGGACGGTATATTCCTAAATTGTAGAACAGCATAACTAACACTCATTTTAGCCTGACCATACAAATAATGCAGCAGGTAGTGACAGAAAGAGAGAGATAGAGGGTGTAGAGATAGAAACAAGTGTCACGCTCTGGCTCCGGGACTCTGTATGTTGAGCCAGGGTGTGTTCGTTTCTTTGTGTTCTGTTTCTTGGTTGGGTTGTTCTAGGTTGTTGTGTTTCTTTGTTTGAGTGACTCCCAATCAGAGGTAACGAGTGTCAGCTGTTGGCTCGTTGTCTCTGATTGGGAGCCATATTTAAACTGTCTGTTTTCACCTTGTGTTTGTGGGTTTTTGTTCCGTGTCGGTATGTTTTACCGTGGACTTCACGAGTCGTGTTTTGTTTTGGTTTTCGTGCTTTAATTAAATAAAGTCATGTTTATTTCACACGCTGCGCCTTGGTCTACTACTCCTTACCCAGACGGTCGTGACAGAAAAACCCACCATACAACGACCAAGCAGCGTGTCCAGGAGCAGGCAGACTGGACATGGGAGGAAGCGCCGGGAAAGGAGATGGAGAGGCTGGCGATGGCCCAGGTGGGCAAGGTGTGGTCCTGGGAGGACATGCTCGGGGGCAAGGGACCTTGGGGTAGGATCAAGGCCCTGGCGAAAGAGGAGCAGCGGCGTCAGCAGTGCCATCGTCGGACGGACGAGAGGCACCCCCAAGAATTTTTTAGGGGGGGGCACAGGGCATGGACGACGGGGCTGACGGAGGCAGAGAAGGGGCGTATTCAAAAGGCCACCAGGTTACGGGGGCCACTGGTCAAAGTAGGGAAAGGAGGTTTAGAGGCACGGCGAGAGGTACTGGGTGTGTGCTAACCAGTCCGGTCCGGCCCGTTCCAGTTCCCGGAGTAGAGCCAGTGGTGTGGTGTCCCCAGTATGGTCCGGCCTGTTTACGGCCCCTCGCACCAAATGGACGGTGCGCGTCTCCAGCCCGGTCCGGCCTGTTCCTGCCTCTCGCACCAAGCCTACGGGGTGCGTCGCCAGTCCTGCCCGGCCTGTTTCCTGCTCCACGCACCAAACCTACGGTGTTGCGTCGCCAGCCCTGCCCGGCCTGTTCCTGCTCCACGCACCAAACCTACGGTGTGCGTCGACAGCCCTGCCCGGCCTGTTCCTGCTCCACGCACCAAGTCTACGGTGTGCGTCGACAGCCCTGCCCGGCCTGTTCCTGCTCCACGCACCAAACCCTACGGTGTGCGTCGACCGCCCTGCCCGGCCTGTTTCCTGCTCCACGCACCAAGTCTACGGTGTGCGTCGCCAGCCCTGCCCGGCCTGTTTCCTGCTCCACACGCCAAACCTACGGTGTGCGTCGCCAGCCCAAGCCCGGCCTGTTCCTGCTCCACGTACCAAGTCTACGGTGTGCGTCGCCAGCCCTGCCCGGCCTGTTTCCTGCTCCACGCACCAAGTCTACGGTGTGCGTCGCCAGCCCTGCCCGGCCTGTTCCTGCTCCACGCACCAAGTCTACGGTGTGCGTCGCCAGCCCTGTCCGGCCTGTTCCTGCTCCACGCACCAAGCCTACGGTATGCGTCGTCACGCCCAGCCCGCCTGTCCCTGCTCCACGCACCAAGCCTATGGGGTGCGTCGCCAGCCCCTGTCCGGCCTGTCCCTGCTCCACGCACCAGGACTACGGTGTGCGTCGTCAGCCCAGCCCGGCCTGTCCCTGCTCCACGCACCAAGCCTACGGGGTGCGTCGTCAGCCTGGTCCAGCCCGTTCCTGCCACTCGCACCAAGCCAGGGGTGCGAGTCGTCAGCCTGGTCCAGCCCGTTCCTGCCACTCCGCACCAAGCCAGGGGTGCGAGTCGTCAGCCTGGTTCAGCCCGTTCCTGCTACTCGCACCAAGCCCGGGGTGCGAGTCGTCAGCCTGGTAAGACCGGTCAGCTGCTCCACAACGGAGCGTAAGCAATCCGCTCCGTCATTGTCCAGTCCAGATCCAGCCAGCGGGGTCAGACCGACCAGGGGCGCTATGGGGGGTTGTTTGGAGGGTGGTGGGCAAGGCCGGGGCCAGAACCCCGCCGCCGAGGAGGTATGCCCCGCCCAGCCCTCCCTTGTTTAGCCCTTATTGAGGCGCGGTCGCAGTCCGCGCCTTTAGGGGGGGGTACTGTCACGCTCTGGCTCCGGGACTCTGTATGTTGAGTCCAGGGGTGTGTTCCGTTTCTTTGTGTTCTGTTTCTTGGTTGGTTGTTCTAGGTTGTTGTGTTTCTTCTTTGTTTGAGTGACTCCCAATCAGAGGTAACGAGTGTCAGCTGTTGGCTCGTTGTCTCTGATTGGGAGCCATATTTAAACGGTCTGTTTTCACCTTGTGTTTGTGGGTTTTTGTTCCGTGTCGGTATTTTTACCGTGGACTTCACGAGTCGTGTTTTGTTTTGGTTTTCGTGCTTTAATTAAATAAAGTCATGTTTATTTCACACGCTGCGCCTTGGTCTACTACTCCTTACCCAGACGGTCGTGACAACAAGGGGAAGAGGGATAGGAGATAGGGAGAGAGAGAGGAAGAAAAACGAAAGAAAGAAGAAAGAAAAGAAAGAAGAAGAAATAAATGAAGAAAGAAAGAAAAAATAAAGAAAGAAGAAGAAATAAAGAAAGGTATAAGAAAGAAAGAAAGAAAGAGTGTGTGAGAGAAAGAGAAAGAGAAAGAGAAAGAGAAAGGGAGAGAGAGAGAGAGAGAGAGACAGACAGGCAGGCAGGCAGGCAGACAGACAGACAGACAGAAATAAGTAAAGAAAGAGATGGGTTTATGGGGGCTCATGTCAGAGCATGGCATAATAACAGGTCCGTGTTCCCAACATGTGCTGCCGACCTATGCGCTCATCAGCATAAATCCTGTCAGAGCGTGGCTGCAGGGGACTTAAGACTGGCTTCAGTCACACAGAGATGGGCAGCAGATACACACAGCACAGAGGGGCCAGAGTAAACACTGAACAGTGTTGCAGTCAATGCTATTGAGGAAAGAGAGATGAGAGAGGAGAAAGAGAGAGAGAGAGAGAGAGAGAGAGAGAGAGAGAGATAGAGAGAGAGGGGATAGTGCTGGCTGTTTAATTTCCATGAGTCTTTCATTCTTATCAGCTCAAACCGATTCATATTCTATTTCATGTGGCGAGATCAGAGCTCAGGCAGAGCAACCAAGGCTCCACTGACTACTGCCACACATACAGCTGAATACCATGACCTAGTGAAGGACAGACACACATTGGGGGGGGGGGGGGGGGGACATGTCGAAGAGAAGAGAGCGAGTGAGAAAGAGATGCAATAGAGAAAAGACAGAGAAAGAGAGGCATGAGAGGAATGGAGAAAGAGAGGATAGATAGGGAGGGTGAGAGAACTCTATAGTAGCAGGTTGACGTTAATTGTCATGAATCTTGCCCTGGAGGAAGAAATGAGAGATTTCCGCTAGATGGGCCAGCTGCAAAATTGGATATATATCGTAAAAGTTCATGAAAACAAAATCGTGCTTTTTGGTCTTAACTGTGTTGAAAATTGCAGATTTGGGCACTGATAAGCACCTAAATTGGAATGCAGTGGCTGTACAGTAACATGCTATCCATGGGAGCTCAGGCACTGTGCTTCAGAGCGCTGTATGGGTTTTGACTGACAGCCATTCTGAACTTGAGCAACGCATGTGACAAAAAGTTGCAACCCATTCCTCCCGCAAATTGGGCAACTTTTGAAATGTTTTTGTTGTCTGAGTGAGGGAAATGCTGTAAATTATAAGGACTCGATGTATTTTGAAAGACGTTGAGAATTATAATAAATACCGCTTTGATGTCATACAAGCAAGCCAAACACCTGTGAGTCCAAATGTGCACTTCACATTTCCATATAAAAAAACTCATGTCATATACAGTGTCAACGTTTATGAACACTACGTTTTATATATTCACACCCCTTGACCTTTTTATGTGTTACATTTTTAAGTCTTGCCATAGATTTTTAAGCCAATTTAAGTAACAACTGTAACTAGGCCACTCAGGAAAACTCTATGTCGTCTTGGTAAACAACTCCAGTTTACAGTCGTGGTCAAAAGTTTTGAGAATGACACAAGTATTGGTCTTCTCAAAGTTCGCTGCTTCAGTGTTATGAGACATTTTTGTCAGATGTTACTATGGTATACTGAAGTATAATTACAAGCATTCCATTAGTGTCAAAGGCTTTTACTGACAATTACATTAAGTTTATGCAAAGAGTCAATATTTGCAGTGTTGACCCTTCTTTTTCAAGAGCTCTGCAATCCGCCCTGGCATGCTGTCAATTAACTTCTGGGCCACATCCTGACTGATGGCAGCCCATTCTTCCATAATCAATGCTTGGAGTTTGTCAGAAATTGTGGGTTTTTGTTTGTCCACCCACCTCTTGAGGATCGACCACAAGTTCTCAATGGGATTAATGTCTGGGGAGTTTCCTGGCCATGGACCCAAAATGTCGATGTTTTGTTCCCCGAGCCACTTAGTTATCACTTTTGCCTTATGTCAAGGTGCTCCATCATGCTGGAAAAGGCATTGGTCGTCACCAAACTGTTCTTGGATGGTTGGGAGAAGTTGCTCACAGAGGATGTGTTGGTACCATTCTTTATTCATGGCTGTGTTCTTAGGCAAAATTGTGAGCCCACTCCCTTGGCTGAGAAGCAACCCCACACATGAATGGTCTCAGGATGCTTTACTGTTGGCATGACACAGGACTGATGGTAGCGCTCACCTTGTCTTCTCTGGACAAGGTGTTTTCCGGATGCCCCAAACAATCGGAAAGGGGATTCATCAGAGAAAATGACTTTACCCCAGTCCTCAGCAGTCCAATCCCTGTACCTTTTGCAGAATATCAGTCTATCCCTGATGTTTTTCCTGGAGAGAAGTAGCTTCTTTGCTGCCCTTCTTGACACCAGGCCATCCTCCAAAAGTCTTCGCCTCACTGTGCGTGCAGATGCACTCACACCTGCCTGCTGCCATTCCTGAGCAAGCTCTGCACTGGTGGTGCCCCGATCCCGCAGCTCAATCAACTTTAGGAGACGGTCCTGGCGCTTGCTGGACTTTCTTGGGAGCCCTGACGCCTTCTTCACAACAATTGAACCTCTCTCCTTGAAGTTCTTGATGATCCGATAAATGGTTGATTTAGGTGCAATCTTACTAGCAGCAATATCCTTGCCTGTGAAGCCCTTTTTGTGCAAAGCAATGATGACGGCACATGTTTCCTTGCAGGTAACCATGGTTAACAGAGGAAGAACAATGATTTCAAGCACCACCCTCCTTTTAAAGCTTCCAGTCTGTTATGCTAACTCAATCAGCATGACAGAGTGATCTCCAGCTTTGTCCACGTCAATACTCTCACTTGTGTTAACGAGAGAATCACTGACATGATGGCAGCTGGTCCTTTTGTGGGAGGGCTGAAATGCAGTGGAAATGTTTTGGGGGGATTAAGTTCATTTTCATTGCAAAGAGGGACTTTGCAATTAATTGCAATTCATCTGATCACTCTTCATGACATTCTGGAGTATATGCAAATTGCCATCATCAAAACTGAGGCAGCAGACTTTGTGAAAATTAGTATTTGTGTCATTCTCAAAACGTTTGACCACGACTGTATATTTGGCCTTGTGTTTTAGGTAATTGTCCTGCTGAAAGGTGAATTTGTCTCTGAGTGTCTGTTGGAAAGCACACTTAACCAAGTTTTCCACTAGGGTTTTGCCTGTGCTTAGCTCTATTCCATTTATTTTTATCCTAAAAACTCCCTAGTCCTTGCAGATGACAATCATACCCATAACATGATACATCCACCACCAAAAATGAAGAGTGGACTCAGTGATGTGTTGTGTTGGATTTGCCCCAAACATAACGCTTTGTATTCAGGACAAAAAGTTAATGTCTTTGAAACATTTTTTGCAGTATTACTTTAGTGCCTTATTGCAAACAGGATGCATGTTTTGGAATATTTTTTTCTGTATAGGCTTCCTTCTTTTCACTCTGTCATTTATGTTAGTATTGTGGAGTAACTACAATGTTGTTGATCCATCCTCAGATATCTCCTTTCACAGCCATTAAACTCTGTAACTGTTTTAAAATCGACATCGGCCTCATGGTGAAATCCCTGAGCAGTTTCTTTCCTCTCCGGCAAGTGAGTTAGGAAGGACGCCTGTATCTTTGTAGTGAATAGGGGTATTGATACACGATCCAAAGTGTATTTAATAACTGCACCATGCTCAAATGGATATTCAACGTCTGCTTTTGTTTTACCTATCTACCAATAGGTGCCCTTCTTTGAGAACCACTGGAAAACCTCCCTGGTCTTTGTGGTTAAATCTGTACTTGTATGTCATTGTACAGTATGTGTGGGGTACAGAGATGGGGTAGTCATTTAAAACTCATGTTAAACACTATTATTGCACACAGATTGAGTCCATGCAACTTATTATGTGACTTGTTAAGCACATTTTTACTCCTGAACTTATTTAGGCTTGCCATAACAAAAGGTCTGAATACTTATTGACTCAAGACATTTCAGCTTTACATTTGTTATTAATTTGTAAACATTTCTAAAAACATAATTCCACTTTGACGTTATGGGGTATTGTGTGTAGATCAGTGACACAAAATCTCAATTGAATAAACATTTTATTCAGGCTGTAACACAACAAAATATGGAAAAGTTAAAGGTGGTGTGAATACTTTCAGAAGGCACAGTACAGTTACAAGATGACATGGCAACATACCCTGGGTTGTTCTGAACAGCAATACGGAACACGCACCTGAATGCACTCATGACTCCTTTCTATGCGCATCAAAATTACAATCTGTTTCTCTGAATTGCCTTGTGAAAGCCTAACACTGTAAGATTGTATTTTATAACGTAGTTAGTCATGTTGGCAGTAGAACAAGCATTCAAATAATGCCCAGCTGACCCAGATTGCAATTTAAAATGGACCCTTTTTGGATTGCGTAAACAGGATTGCAGGGTTGTGTTCCAAACAAAACAACTACAATTGTGCTTACTCTAGTGCCTTAATGGCACAGCTAGGAGAGCTCAGAAAAGCACCTTATAGTTGAACTTGGAGACACCAGTTAGTCCTCTCACTCAAACCCTTGTAATTGTTTTGTCATATGTTGCACCTACCCCACATTTTCCATGAATATTCTTATCATGTCACTGAATGTATCCAGAGTATTTTCAGATGTCGTTATCAACAAATGCAGTGAAAAGTACAGTAAATGTAAAATGCACATACTGTAAAATCAACAGTGTCATGTTTGGATTCAGTCTTGTGTCAGGTGAACTGTGTGTCCTCAACTTTGGTCTAATCATTTTCCCATAATCTCCAAACTGTTCCCTTTCAATTGCTACCATTCTTATGCATTTCATATTTATTTTATAAGAAACATTTCAATTTAGTCCTATCCATATAGGCCAATTACCACGAGTGTAAAGGGTTAATTTAAGGTTAGGGGTAGGCATTAGGGTTAGCAGTGTGGTTAAGGTTAGGGTTAAAATCAGATTTGATGACTTTGTGGCTATGCCAGCTATTGACCACTCTGCAGAGGTGCCTCCAGGAGAAGATTCATGACAATAAATGCCAACCTGCTGTATTGTAATATTAGAGAGAGAGAGAGAGAGATAGTAGAGAGAAGAGAGCGGGAGCGGGGGAGGTGAGGCAGAGCGAGAAAGTGCTGGTGCGTAGAGAGCCTGGGGTTTGAACAATAATTCCCTTCCAAAATTAGCCTCATTTTTCACAAACTTTTCCATAATGGATTAATCTGCGGAGCGGAGATGGGGTTGCTGCTTTGCCAGTCCTGAGGGAGGCCAAATGAGAGCAGATGAGAGATGGATCATGGATGCTCTGCTCCAGCCTGCTCTAGGTAAACATTGGCTCAGAGACAGAATAGATGGATGAGGGGGCGTCTTGTACAGTTGTACACATTTCAATCTAATTCTGTCTACGTGGTACAGGGGTAAATGCCTATCTCTGACAGAATATGTTGTGCTGACTTCTTACTGAAATGTCTACATGGACACTTTCCTGAGGGAGGATAAGCTGTAGTGTAGGCTTACTGCTGGTAGCCCCTCAGGGATAAAAATAAGTTAAGTGAATAGAATTGGATTACGGTCCATTCAAGGGGAAAGACAGTCACCTCACCTGTGAGAGAAGCAATTCTTGGAGATATTCAGGTAAGAGAGATCAGCACAACATCCCCTCAACAGAGCACCAAATAACTGTTATGGAGAGAAACCAATATATTAGCATTAGTAATCACATATTATGTTAACACATCAACAAATACATACAAAGATCAATCATGTAAATAACCTTGGCAATTTCATGATAATTTTGCTAACACCGTCAGTAAGTCATTTTACAATAAAGTGACATTCTAACAAAGTCAACCAGACTCTCTACAGGGGAGATTATACTGGAGAAAACAAGATATGAACACAATAACATCGTCACGAAAAATCATCCATAACAGAGAGTGGCCTCCTTTCATCCCAAAGAGACATCAGAGGAAGAGGAATGAGTTGGGAACGAGCTATGGCAGACCAGAAGCTTCTTGTCTCAGAACACACTGTAATATTCTCTACAAAATTCATGCTCAACATAAGAGGCATAATCTTCTTGTTTTTGGGGCAGAATGTTCCTTCCCAAATTATACAGATTAAACTTCATGTTTATACGTTTGTAGAATCCCAGAACTGTTATACTGCACATCCCGATCAGGGCGTCCACACTTCCACTTTAATTATCACAAAGTCCACTTCAATAAGTATGTTAGTTAAGACTATCCTGACCCTTGACCAGACAAAGCATGTATCACTTTTAACTGTATGATCAAAGCATGAAGCACTCTAGAATGGAGACACTACTAACCGAGTCCACAGTGCAGTCGGTCCCAGAGAGGTCCAAATGAACCAGGCAGTTTGGCTGGGCTAGGAACAGGTACATGTTCTGCAGAGAGATAGACAGAGAGAGAGCCTTTAACGAGAGGTGTGTGTGTGTGTGTGTGTTTGTGTGGTTGTGTGTGCGTGTGCATGGGTGCGTGCTACGTGCGAGCTACAGTACGTGCGTGGGCGTGTACATGTGGCGTTTATGTGTCGGTCTCACCGTGGCTTCCTCCCCAGACAGAATCCCAGGGTTTTTGCTCAGGTCCAGGTGAAGGAGAGAGTTGGAGTAGTCATCACTGGAGCAGAGGGCCTGGGAGAGAGACACCACTCCTAAGATAGAGGAAGGGAGAGGGTGATGAATGAAAAAGAAATATGCATACGTCGAAATAGCCTGTTGACATAGAGAAATAAAGTAACTGCAGTGGAGGAGGGAAAGAGTTTCAGATCCCCACTATTAACTGGCCAACTATCAAAGCTAACTACTAATCACATAAACTCTCCATCTGAAACCAAAATACAAATATGGCCCTTGGTCCATTACATTAGAGCAGCCAATTCAAATCTCTTCACTGCAGAGATTCAGAGAAAGAAAACAGTAACAAGAACAGGATCAGTGAGCAGTGAACTCAATAAAGCCCAAAAAACTACATTTGGCCAAAATGAAAGCAGACTTGCAGGGCCAGACCTTGTACTCTCATGTTTACTTTGAAGCCTGGAATGAAAGGTTACAGTTAGAGCAATGAGGCAAAGACTGTGGAATAGTTAGGCCTGTGCTCTACCCTACTACAGTAGATTAAGCATATCCCTAATTCGCCCAGATTAAAGAGGAAATTAGCACACAGCAGACAACAGAGCAGACAGCAGAGCAGACAACAGAGCAGACAGCAGAGCAGACAACAGAGTAGACAACAGAGCAGACAGCAGAGCAGACAACAGAGCAGACAGCAGAGCAGACAACAGAGCAGACAACAGAACAGACAGCAGAGCAGACAACAGAGCAAACAACAGAGCAGACAGCAGAGCAGACAGGCATGTGGCTCTGAGAGGGAGCAGGTAGGCAATCCTCTGCCCATCAATGTGATACCTCATGTTCACATACAGTACCAGTCAAAGGTTTGGACACACCTACTCATTCCAGGGCTTTTCTTTATTTTTTAAAACTATTTTCTACATTGTAGAATAATAGTGAAGACATCAAAACTATGAAATAACACATATGGAATCATGTAGTAACCAAAAAAGTGTTAAACAAATCTAAATATATGTTATATTTGAGATTTTTCAAATAGCCACCCTTTGCCTTGATGACAGCTTTGCACACTCTTGGCATTCTCTCAACCAGCTTCATGAGGTAGTCACCTGGAATGCATTTCAATTAACAGGTATGCCTTCTTAAAAGTTAATTTGTGGAATTTCTTTCCTTCTTACTGCGTTTGAGCCAATCAGTTGTGTTGTGACAGAAGATAGCCCTATTTGGTAAAATACCAAGTCCATATTATGGCAAGAACAGCTCAAATAAGCAAAGAGAAATTACAGTCCATCATTACTTTAAGACATGAAGGTCAGTCAATTTGGAACATTTCAAGAACTTTGAAAGTTTCTTCAAGTGCAGTCACAAAAACCATCAAGCGCTATGATGAAACTGGCTCTCATGAGGACCGCCACAGGAATGGAAGACCCAGAGTTACCTCTGCTGCAGAGGATAAGTTCATTAGAGTTACCAGCTTCAGAAATTGCAGCCCAAATAAATGCTTCACAGAGTTCAAGTAGTAGACACATTTCAACAACTGTTCAGAGGGGACTGTGTGAAACAGGTCATTCATGGTCGAATTGCTGCAAAGAAACCACTACTAAAGGACACCAATAATATGAAGAGACCAGCTTGGGCCAAGAAACATGAGCAATGGACATTAGACCAGTGGGAATTTGTTCTTTGGTCTGGAGTCCAAATTTGAGATTTTTTGTTCCAACCGCTGTGTCTTTGTGAGATGTGGTGTGGGTGAACGGATGATCTCCTCATGTGTATTTCCCACCATAAAGCATGGAGGAGGAGGTGTTATGGTGTGGGGGTGCTTTGCTCTGTGATTCATTTAGAATTCAAGGCACACTTAACCAGCATGGCTAATACAGCATTCTACAGCGATACGTCAACCTATCTGGTTTGGGCTTAGTGGGACTATCATTTGTTTTTCAACAGGACAATGACCCAACACACCTCCGGGCTGTGTAAGGGCTATTTTACCAAGAAGGAGAGTGATGGAGTGCTGCATCAGATTACCTGTCCTCCACAATCCCCCGACCTCAACCCAATTGACATGGTTTGGGATGAGTCGGACTGCAGAGTGAAGGAAAAGCAGCCAACAAGTGCTCATAATATGTGGGAACTCCTTCAAGACTGTTGGAAAAGCATTCCTGGTTGAGAGAATGCCAAGAGTGTGCAAAGCTGGCAAACGGTGGCTATTTGAAGATTCTCAAATATAAAATATACTTTGATATGTTTAACACTTTTTTGTTTACTACATGATTCCATATGTGTTATTTCATAGTTTTGATGTGTTCACTATTATTCTACAATGTAAAACATTGTAAAAATAAAGAAAAACCCTTGAATGAGTAGGTGTGTCCAAACTTTTGACTGGTAGTGTATTATGACTGTCTTTTTGATGAGTCATCTGTAAATCTATCAATCTATAAATAGACTTTGATCATAAATGTGCTCTTGACAAATATAAGAGAACATAAACCTTAGGACCCTGAATGGCTCAAGAATGAAATTCTTTTGAAAACCCCAGGCCCTATAGACGGGTTAGCTGACAACGTCACGAAAACAATGCGCACGCTTCAATGGGCCAGAAGTCTCTGTGTTGTTGTGATTCTGGATGGCCATATATCTAGCAACAATGACAAGAAACTGCAATGAGGGGAATCGTGAGTGGCTCGTTTCAGTTAGATTTATATTTTTCTTCATACCATGTCTTGTTTTGAGGTGTTTTGACTGATGTCATGTCTATGCTAATATGGCTAAAATCCGCTAGCTAGCTAACCAACAACTGTAACAATGTATTTGAGAGACACCAAGTGCTCATTGTGCAACATGATGTTTTCAATAAACATTGGAGACTAAATATAGTTTACATGTTGTCAACAATCTAAACCAACCCTGTCTATAGTTGTGCGCGTGTCGGTTCATGGAGGAGAGGTGACCACCACAGGGGGGCACTGTGGCCCAGGGGACAGAGGGAGGACAGACGGATTAACACACCCTTAGAAGAGAGGGACGTCTTGGAGAGGTTGAGCAGACGAAGGCCTTTGTTGAGACGACACACCAGCTGGATGAGGTTGGACACTCCTGGAGAAAATAAACACACATGAGAGTGTCAGAATGAAACACACACACACACACTGCTCACACTCACGTCCACAAGCAAACAGTCACACACATGAACATGAATAGATCAGAGAAAACATACACAATCACACACCCTTGACAACCCCATACATGATCAGCAAGATCAACACATACATCCATGCATAATCCACGCAGACAAAAAAGCTAATCGTAGTACATGGCGTCTACAGGCACACAGCCACAAACACACAGTCATGTGAGTGGAAGTGACAGGTGTCAGAGGCAGATTCGGATGTACTAACGAGAGTTCTTGGCACGCATACAACCCTGACACACAAACATGAATAGAGGACACACACGCACACACACACACATCTGCCAAGCAAACAGCAAACACGGAGAAAGATGCACCCAGACTGGTATTCAAACACATGACTAATCAAGTACCTTGGTTGTCTAAGGTGTTGTGGGCCAGGTTGAGAGAGTGTATTGCAGAGGCAGGATTCTCTGACAGAGCCGTCGCCATTTTCTGAGGGAAATCTCTAAAATAGCAAATATGAAGAGAAGAGAGATAAAAGATGACTTTGATGATTCCAGTGATACATTATACATCTGTGTATATCTGAGTCATGGAAGAGAAAAAGCTCAACTCAGCAGTGAAGTCGGGATGGTTAGAAAATAATTAGACAGATAAAAAGAGAGGAGATGAAAGGGAGAGAAGTGGCAGAACAGGAGGAGGTGAGGAGATGAGGAGACTCACGATTTGAGGCCAGCGTTCTCCAGAGTGAGTTCCTCCAGACTGCTGGACTTGCTTACGGTGTGAAGGACCTGCTCCACCACCTCTGAACCCTGGGGAGATCAAACAGAGACAGTGTTACATAACTGGACCGGCTCCTGATGGATAAAACACAGTTTTAACCAACTACAAATAAATAAATCCTGCTAGTCCAGTCTAAACACAAATGGATGTTCTCAGGCTGACAGGTTTAAGAAACATAACCAGAAATTTACATTTTCATTTTTAGTCATTTAGCAGACACTCTTATCCAGAGCGACTTACAGTTAGTGAGTGCATACATTTTCATACTGCCCCCCCGTGGGAAACGAACCCACAACCCAAGCGTTGCAAGCGCCATGCTCTACCAACTGAGCTACAGGGGACATGTAGATATCACATGCAATCAGTAATGTAAAGTGGATAGTTACCATGCGCATGTCTTTGCAGTAGAGTTTGGTGAACCAAGTGTTGTATGCCATGGAAGCCACAATTACCGCCAGGTCCCTGAAATAGACACACACAATGTCAAGCTTACATTTATACAATAGAGCCGTATCAACTCGAAATACTCATCAAAAACTCATTACATTCCCACAGCCAAACAAAACAAAATGTTTTTCTCTGGCAAAACAAATTAATCAGAGAGAGCCATATGGATGGCTTCAGAAATGATGTATGATTCTGCAGCACACTCTCCTTGTTGGAGAGAGAGGGCCTGAGGAAAGAGAGAGGGCAGAGAGAAGGATCAATGGGCTGACTGAGAGAGGCCAGGTCAGTGGATTACTCAGTGTGAGGTTCCACACAGCCATGTTTCGATCTTGGCCAACGGCCTAAAACCGTTTTATCCTGCCCAAAACACCATATGTCCAGTAGAGGGGAGGGAGAGAGGGATGGAGGGAGAGAGGGAGAGAGGCAGAGAGTGAGAGAGAGAGCGAGAGAGAGGGGGAGAGAGAGGCAGAGAGAGAGAGATGAAGCAGCAGACAGAGAAACCAACAGAGGGGGAGAGAGCGCTCTTACAGGGGAACGCCCTCCCTCCATTACTGTAAATCATTAGGGCCCAGTCCAGTGTAGCATGGCTGAGGGCTGTGTTCTCATTTCTCATGCCATTGTGGATTGGACTTCACTCTGGCTGGCTAAAGGGTGGGTGTGTGTGTGTGTGTGTGTTTGTATGCGTGTGTACTATCCACAACCTCTACCAGTGTTCCCAACAAGCCAACAGCAGCTCCCTCATACACCAAATTACTGGCACGAGTTCCCTGAATCAAATCAAATCAAATTAAATGTGTCACATGCGCCGAATACAACAGGTGTAGACCTTACCGTGAAATGCTTACTTACAAGCTCTTAACCAACAATGCAGTTTTAAGAAAGAATACCCCAAAAAATCACCAAAATATACAATATAAAATAATACGAAATAAAAGTAACAAACAATTAAAGAGCAGCATAAAAATAACAGTAGTGAGGCTATATACAGGGGGTGCCGCTACCGAGTCAATGTGCGGGGGCACCAGTTAGTCGAGGTAATTGAGGTAATATGTACATGTAGGTTGAGTTATTAAAGTAACTATGCATAGATAATTAACAACTGTGCACAGACAATAAACAGAGAGTAGCAGCAGCGTAAAAGAGGGGGGGGGGGGACAATGCAAATAGTCTGGGTAGCCATTTGATTACACGTTCAGGAGTATTATGGCTTGGGGGTAGAAGTTGTTTAGAAGCCTCTTGGACCTAGACTTGGTGCTCCGGTACCGCTTGCCGTGCGGTAGCAGAGAGAACAGTCTATGACTAGGGTGGCTGGAGTTTTAGAAACATTTTAGGGCCTTCCTCTGACACCGTCTGGTATAGAGGTCCTGGATGGCAGGAAGCTTGGCCCCATTGATGTACTGGGCCGTACACACTACCCTCTGTAGTGCCTTGCGGTCGGAGGCCGAGCAGTTGCCATACCAGGCAGTGATGCAACCAGTCAGGATGCTCTCATGGTGCAGCTGTAGAACCTTTTGAGGATCTGAGGACCCATGCCAAATCTTTTCAGTCTCCTTAGGGGGAATAGGTTTTGTCGTGCCCTCTTCACGACTGTCTTGGTGTGCTTGGACCATGTTAGTTTGTTGGTGATGTGGACACTAAGGAACTTGAAGCTCTCAACCTGCTCCACTTCAGCCGGGGCATGCTCGGTCCTCTTCTTTTTCCTGTAGTCCACAATCATTTCCTTTGTCTTGATCACGTTGAGGGAGAGGTTGTTGTCCTGGCACCACACGGCCAGGTCTCTGACCTCCTCCCTATAGTCTGTCTCGTTGTTGTCGGTGATCAGGCCTACCACTGTTGTGTCATCGGCAAACTTAATGATGGTGTTGGAGTCGTGCCTGGCCATGCAGTCATGAGTGAACAGGGAGTACAGGAGGGGACTGAGCATGCACCCCTGAGGGGCCCCTGTGTTGAGGATCAGCGTGGCGGATGTGTTGTTACCTACCCTTAACCACCTGGGGGCGGCCCATCAGGAAGTCCAGGATCCAGTTGCAGAGGGAGGTGTTAAGTCCCAGGGTCCTTAGCTTAGTGATGAGCTTTGAGGGCACTATGGTGTTGAACGCTGAGCTATAGTCAATGAATAGCATTCTCACATAGATGTTCCTTTTGCTGAGGTGTGAAAGGGCAGTGTGGAGCACAATAGAGATTGCATCATCTGTGGATCTGTTGGGGCGGTATGCAAATTGGAGTGGGTCTAGGGTTTCTGAGATAATGGTGTTGATGTGAGCCATGACCAGCCTTTCAAAGCACTTCATGGCTACAGACGTGACTATGGGTCGGTAGTCATTTAGGCAGGTTACCTTAGTGTTCTTGGGCAGAGGGACCATGGTGGTCTGCTTGAAACCTGTTGGTATTACAGACTCAGACAGGGAGAGGTTGAAAATGTCAGTGAAGACACTTGCCAGTTGGTCAGCGCATGCTCGAAGTACACGTCCTGGTAATCCGTCTGGCCCTGCGGCCTTGTGAATGTTGACCTGCTTAAAAGTCTTATTCACATCGGCTACGGAGAGCGTGATCACACAGTCGTTCGGAACAGCTGATGCTCTCATGCATGTTTCAGTGTTACTTGCCTCGAAGCGAGCATAGAAGTAATTTAGCTCATCTGGTAGGCTCTTGTCACTGGGCAGCTCGCGGCTGTGCTTCCCTTTGTAGTCTGTAATAGTTTGCAAGCCCTGCCACATCCGATGAGCGTCGGAGCCGGTGTAGTACGATTCGATCTTAGTCCTGTATTGACGCTTTGCCTGTTTGATGGTTCGTCGGAGGGCATAGCGGAATTTCTTATAAGCGTCCGGGTTAGTGTCCCACTCCTTGAAAGCGGCAGCTCTACCTTTTAGCTCAGTGCGGATGTTGCCTGTAATCCATGGCTTCTGGTTGGGGTATGTACGTACAGTCACTGTGGGGACGACGTCATCGATGCACTTATTGATAAAGCCAGTGACTGATGTCGTGTACTCCTCAATGCCATCGGAAGAATTCCGGAACATTGTCCAGTCTGTGCTAGCAAAACAGTCCAAAACAGAATCAACAATTCCATTAAAAGTGTGAGCTGCTCTTCCAGCCCATGTGTAGAAGAGTACTGTTTACAACCACTATTGGTCCCCTTGGGGGCTGTAGGGCTCTTGAGCATGACAGTCTGCCAGCTATACTCCAGAGAGAGACACACACACACACACACACACACACACACACACACACACACCACACACACACACACACACACACACACAGGAACCAGGTTTAGCTACTGCAGCATGCCCAGTGTGATGTGTGAACCTGCTGGGCTATTCATGCAGGGCCACACAGGCAGCAGAGAGAGAGAAATGTGTCCACTTTCATAGCATGAAGAATGAAATGAAATAGAAGAGGACGACAGTCAGCAGAAAAAGCATGGCCGTGTCAGAGGCTGTAACTGTAGAAGGCAGAAATCAGAAAGGATTGGGGGAATGTGAAAGGACACAGCCCAGAGGGATGCACCACAATTGCCTCCTGCCAGGGAGACAGGGTAGTCGGAGAGTTAGGGAGTGCCAGCCCACAGGAGGTGGTGGATCCTGGCTTAAATTAGAGCACCTAACACAGGTGAAGTCCCATAAAAGCTTTACACTGTACCCCTGACACTCACTTACTGACATAGTCACATCTGAGAGCAGAGTAGGGCTAGAATGTAAGTGGACAGGATGAGGGGATGACGGGGGAAGAGAAAGGGCATAGAACAGCAGTATTCAGCAGCATCATTATGCATACAGAACAGGTGGTGTACCTGCTGTCCAGGTGACTGAAGTCCAGCAGGTTGAACTCCCTGTTGTCCTGAGAGTGATAGATAGTGTCCACATCCTAAGAGAGAGGCGAAGTTGGGAGGGAGGGTGGGAGGGAGGGGAGAGAGAGAGAGAGGGAGCGAGAGAGATAGAAAGAGTCAGGTTACAAATATGATGGTACCAACGATACTGACAGTATAACTCCATTGATTGAGTACGACATTAGGTTGATGTAATGCATATGTGGTATTCTTACCCACTGCACTTCCTCCTTACAGCCGATGCCATTATAGTCACACAGAGCTGCGTAGGTCTCAGAGAAACCACCTGAGAGAGCGAGAGAGAGAGAGAGAGGCGAGGATGAGAAGAGAGGGATAGAGAAGAAAGAGAAACAGAGTAGGGGGGGGGGAAGTTCATGTTGAGGTGAGATAAAGACAAGAGCTTGAAAGAACTTGAGTTAGAGAGATTAAAATGATTACTGATCAGATACAGTCATAGATTAGTTGGTTCTAAACATAATAATATATGCTACAGGTGAATTCAAAATGTGTCACTGACTCAATAAAGAGTGTGAGCTTGAGAGTGAGTGAGTGAGTGAGTGAGTGAGTGAGTGAGTGAGTGAGTGAGTGAGTGAGTGAGTGAGTGAGTGAGTGAGTGAGTGAGTGAGTGAGTGAGTGAGTGAGTAGGTGGCTCACCACAGGTTTTCTGAGTCTCTACAGATGATTCAGAGTTTGGTGAAAACTGGAGGACTCCATCAGAGACGTCCCCCTCTGCTCGACAGATGGTCGGACTGCGAGAGAAGGAGGGAGGGAAACAAGGAGGAAAGAGAAAGAAATAGAAAGATATTAACATCTCAGTCAGTGAACAAGCAATATGTATACAGTATACTGCATCTTATGCATGTTTGTGACTTGACTTTACTACTACATTAAATACACAGTATCCTTAATCAAGTTGTATAGTAGACCCAACTACTCTCCTGTCTGACTTAATCACTGACCCTAATCCTTACTTTAGCTCAATAGCCCTAACTAGTCTTTACTTTAACCTTCTGTAGTTCTTTTAACTACATTCTCTCTGTATCCTGTTAAATTATCTATTGGAAAACAGATATTTTGGAATATAATATACTGTAGATGAGTCTCAAAGGTCAATACCCAGTACAGAGTCAATCCTGATGATTCTGCAGCCAGGCTCTCTCTTCATACAGACTACATAGCACGGTTCGAAGCAGTAGGGGATTTCACAAGTGAGACTTACGCATACATGGAGTTATTGAATATTCGTGAGAGGGCAAAGTTGATATGGTTCATCATGTGATCAAGGTGGTCTTGTGACTGCAGTCTCAAGGAGTGGGTCGACTTGTCTGTGTCTATGACAACCTGAAAGGGGTGAGATGACCTCATTAAATTTAAGGCAGAGCTAAATGCAAATGATCATTGTGGTGGTTGTTTCTCAGTTGACAAAAATCGGTAAAGCTAAAACTAATTATGCCCAATAAACACTCTTAGGAATATTAATGCCGTTGAAACTCAGTACCCTCAAAGAGTTTTGGTAAACAAACATTTATCGAAAATGTGAAATGAGGCAGATGGTTGGTTGTGGGAATAAAACAGTTTCTCACCTGATGATCTGGATAAGTGTTCATTGCTCGAATCTCCAGGAAGTTGAAAGTAACCTCCACCTGAAATGATATTGATAGTTATTATAGTAATCAATATGACGAAGTCTTCCCTTTACTGAAAAATGTGAATGATAATCTTCCTCAGAAGCATCATCATACTCATCAACATCATACTCATCATCATCAAAAACAACACTATTAGTTTATTAAATGTCAAAAATTGTGAATTACCTTGGTGGGGACTTTGACAGCAAATAGATACATTCGCCATGTTGCCAGAACCTATAAAGGGAAGAGATTAATTTTGCTGTCAGACAGAAGGAAATACAAAATGCAAATCATCATCGCAACAAATAACACAGCACAAACACCAATATAGGGGACCAACCATCATATCTGTTTACTCAAACATCACATTACTCAGTCTTGCCTAGACGTTACTTCCTAGCATTTTAAGACATTGTGATGGTGACATTTCATTACTTAAGGCAGTTATTTTCAATTGATTCTACTGTCAATGTGTCATAGCTTGAATTGATTTAGGAGGAAGGAGTTGAGGAGACACATGGGGAAACAGGAGAAAAAGGCAAAAATAAATCCAGTTTTTCCAGAGCAGGGGATTACCATTAAGTGGTTGGCGGGTGGGAAAGTGTGCATATATTCAAAGTCGAGTCTGAAGAAGTAATTAATCTCATTCATAATTTAAATGTCCTAATTAGCATACTCCGTCCACGCCTTTATTACACACACCCTGCATCCCCCCATCCTTCCCTCCATCCTTAAGTTTATACTTTGCCCTCTCCTTCCCAAATCTTAACCCAATTCCAGTAAGTTCTCCTTTTCTTTAACACCTCTCTTCTCTCACCCCCTGCCATCCCTCCATTTCTTTCTCTATAGAAATCTGTTCTTTATTCCAATGAACTATCTTCTTAAGCCTCCCATCTCGCCATCCACCTCTCTGTGCATTGTACCCTCCCTCCCTCCCTCCCTGCCCCCGCCGCCCTCCTCCCCCCTCTTCTCTCTCTCCTCCCCGTCTCTCTTGCCTTTCTTATTCGCTTGGAGGTTTATTTTATTTTTCTGCTCTGTCACTTTCAATTCCTCAAGGTCTCTCTGTGCTGAATCGTTAATGGCACCCCACTGTGCGGCAGAGAGAGAGAGAGACAGAGAGAGAGAGACAGAGAGGCTAAGGAGAAAGACAGAGCGAGAGAGGGAGAGATGGAGACAACAGATTTCTCATGAATAAAGTCCTCATATTGGGCATCTCTCCATGCTATTCTTAGCTAAGTTAGCACATTGATGGTGGATCAAGCTGTATCTGATGAGACTGCCAGGACAGCTAGGCAGCCAGGGAGTAGACCCTGAGGTATGTCAGAGGAAAGACTCAAGAAACCCCCTTTGAAACGAGGCCTTTTGAGAGCCCCTATTACAGAGATTGTTACTGATGTCAGAATGCCCTGACATGTTGGAAAACTCAGTTATATAAACCTGTTCTCTGATCAGAGGAGGAGAGAACACGTTTTGATGATGGTTGAGAGGCTCGGAGCAAGAGAGAGAGAGAGAGAGAGAGAGAGAGAGAGAGAGAGAGAGAGAGAGAGAGAGAGAGAGAGAGAGAGATATAGTATAGTAGAGAGGGGAAGAGCGAAGAGATGAGAAGTATTAGAATATAATCATCGATCTCGCCTCTAGTAGTACGCCTCTCGCCTAGATCGTCTCTATCTATCTTTGTTTTTTCCCTCCTCTCTCATCTCTCTCCCCTCTATCTCTCTCTCTCTGCTCCTCTCCTTCTCTCTCTCTCCCTCTCTCCTCCTCTCTCTCCCTCCCGCTCTCTCCTCTCCTCTCTCTAGCTATCTCCCTGCACAAGATGAGACAGAGATGCAAAGCCTTTGTCATCAGACACAAAAGATAGGTGCGTAAACACGGGCATCAATAATGTAGGTCTTATGGTGGGCTTTGATTTGATTGAGTGTGAGGTTGAACACAGCCCGACATGGTATTCGCTCTCTTCAAATATCATTCACCATCTATTCAGATATCATTATTAATACCAATCAATGGATTGTTGATTTTGGTTAAGAGTATGTTTGTTTCGAAAATAAGTGTCAATCAAAATCAGGGTTAACATGTTGGATATTAGAATTGAATATGAACATCGGAGAAAGCAATACATCTAGAATTCTTCCCATAAAACATTTTTTAAATACACTTTTGTCTTTTGGACTGGTGGCTGGTCCTGTAATACTTCCCACTGTACCACAGGAGGCTGCTGAGGGGAGGACGGCTCATAATAATGGCTGGAATGGAGTAAATGGAATGGTATCAAACACATGGAAACCATGGAAACCATGTGTTTGATGTATTCGATACCATTCCATTAATTCTGTTCCAGCCATTACTATGAGCCCGTCCTCCCCAATTAAGGTGCCACCGGCCACCTTTGCACTTTATACCATCTCAAGTAGTATCTAATAGAAGGTCATCTATTGTGACCTACGATCTAACCACTGAGGTTTGGGATGGAATGGTCACTTCTGAGTCTGTGTACATTATTCACAAAGCAGGATTGCCCTTTTCCGACCCAGGTGTATGGATTTTGCACTTGATTTAATAGTCAAGAGCCCCATACCGAACACCGAATGAACCACTCATTTGTTTGGTACATTCAAGGTACTGTGTACCGAATTGAGAATCTAGGTTAGCGGACCTAATCAGAGACAGGGGTCTGAGCCTGCGGCTATGGAACCATGACCTGTTCACCGGACGTGCTACCTTGTCCCGGACCTGCTGTTTTCGACCCTCTCTCTCCCACTCCCTCTCCCTCCCTCTCTCCCTCCCTCTCTCGCCCTCTCTACCGCACCTGTTGTCTTGACCTCTGAATGCTCGGCTATGAAATGCCAACTGACATTTACTCCTGAAGTGCTGACCTGTTGCACCCTCTACAACCACTGTGATTATTATTTGACCCTGCAGGTCATCTATGAACGTTTGAACATCTTGAAGAACGATCTGACCTTAATGGCCATGTCCTCTTATAATCTCCACCCGGGACAGCCAGAAGAGGACTGGCCACCCCTCAGAGCCTGGTTCCTTTCTAGATATCTTCCCAGGTTCCTGCCTTTCTAGGGAGTTTTTCCTAGCCACCGTGCTTCTACATCTGTATTGCTTGCTCTTTGGGGTTTTAGGCTGGGTTTCTGTATAAGCACTCTGTGATATCTGCTAATGTAAAAAGGGCTTTATAAATACACTTGATTGATTGATTGATTGAACTGTCCAATCACAACCTTGAAGAGAGGAAAAATATAACTTTGCCCCACGGTCATCAGACTCCTCAGTAGACGGTTCTCCAAGCTGCTCTGAGATGACCAATCAGAATCCGAATATCCGAGGGGAGATGACTTTGGCCGAGCCGGATCAGACAGCCAATGAGATACCTGTGTGATGAGATAGGGGGACTTTAACCTGGCTGTCTGAGACATACAGGGAGAATCTTAAAGAGGCAGAGGATTCGAGTCTTAAAGAGAATCTTTAGAGACGTGAGTGTCTGTGATGGGGGCTGCAGAGGTGCCCTTCCAGCCAAGATGGCACAGAGTCGAACACTCACAGTTCAAAGAGTTAGGCAGAGCCAGAGTGGGTCTGTGTGGAGGGAATGTGGGTAGGCAGGCTGGAAGGGAGGGGGATGGCTTGGCTTATATTAATCATCAAGCTCTGGGTCTGCACTTCAAACGAGACCTGCAACGCGTCACAGCGCTGCCTCTGGGAGACGAAGCCACATAGTTTGCCAGACCTAGGTCCGGTTTCCCAATAGCGATGGAACTTAGGCTTACGAGCGTTTTAACAATGCATCGTTCCTACAACGGACGAAGTTGTAACAAAATAGAACAAACAAAATAGAGCTCAATTGAATGAACATGAAATGTATTTCAATATGTTTTAAACATAATAGGCATGTAGCCTATACTGTATTTATCTTTTAATGCAGTCATTTGAAGCATCTTTTTATACTCCGTTTGTAACAATTGCAAAGACATTGGTAACTTTGTATTTGTAGTCAACTTCATTCTGAAGTTATCGGTGGTCACAGAGAGACAGATAAACATCTTGATTCTGTGTTCAGCGGGAATCTTACATTTACATTTTACTCATTTAGCAGATGCTATTATCCAAAGCGACTTACAGTTAGTGAGTGCATACATTTTCATACTGGCCCCCCGTGGGAAACGAACCCACAACCCTGGCGTTGCAAGTGCCATGCTCTACCAACTGAGCTACAGGAGTTTACATCATTTATACATAAGTATTCAGACCCTTTACTCAGTACTTTATTGAAGCACCTTTGGCAGCGATTACAGCCTTGAGTCTTCTTGGGTATGACCCTACAAGCTTGGCACACCTGTATTGGGGGAGTTTCTCCCATTCTTCTATGCAGATCCTCTCAAGCTCTGTCAGGTTGGATGGGGAGTGTCGCTGCACAGCTATTTTCAGGTCTCTCCAGAGATGTTCGATCGGGTTCAAGTCCGGGCTCTGGCTGGGCCACTCAAGGACATTCAGAGACTTGTCCCGAAGCCACTCCTGCATTGTCTTGGCTGTGTGCTTAGGGTCATTGTCCTGTTGGAAAGTGAACCTTCGCCCCAGTCTGAGGTCCTGAGCGCTCTGGAGCAGGTTTTCATCAAGGATCTCTCTGTACTTTGCTCGGTTCATCTTTCCCTCGATCCTGACTAGATTGAACATCCCCACAACATGATGCTGCCACCACCATGCATCACCGTAGGGATGGTACAGGTTTCCTCCAGACATGACAGTTGGCATTCAGGCCAAATAGTTCAATCTTGGTTTCATCAGACCAGAGAATCTTGTTTCTCATGGTCTGAGAGTCCTTTAGGTACCTTTTAGCAAACTCCAAGCGGGTTGTCATGTGCCTTTTACTGAGGAGTGGCTTCCGTTTGGCCCCTCTACCATAAAGGCCTGATTGGTGGAGTGCTGCAGAGATGGTTGTCCTTCTGGAAGGTTCTCCCATCTTCACAGAGGAACTCTAGAGCTCTGTCAGGGTGACCATCGGGTTGTTGGTCACCTCCCTGACCAAGGCCCTTCTCGCCCGATTGCTCAGTTTTGCCGGGCGGCCAGCTCTAGGAAGACTTTTAGTGGTTCCAAACTTCTTCCATTTAAGAATGATGGAGGCCACTTTGTTCTTGTGGATCTTCAATGCTGCAGAGATCTTTTGGTACCCTTCCTGTGATATGTGCCTCGACACCATCCTGTCTCGGAGCTCTACGGACAATTCCTTCGACCTCATGGCTTGGTTTTTGTTCTAACATGACTGTCAACTGTGGGACTTTATATAGACAGGTGTGTGCCTTTCCAAATCATGTCCAATCAATTGAATTTACCACAGGTGGACTCCAATCAAGTTGTACAAACATCTCAAGGATGATCAATAGAAACAGGATGCACCTCAGCTCAATTTCGAGTCTCATAGCAAAGATTCTACATACTTGTGTAAAGAAGGTGTTTCTGTTTTTTATTTTAATAAATTTGCAAAAATTTCTAAAAACCTGTTTTTGCTTTGTCATTTTGGGGTATTGTGTGTAGATTGAAGAGGATTTAAAAAAAAATCCATTTTAGAATAAAACTGTAACGTAACAAAAATTGGAAAAAGTCAAGGGGTCTGAATACTTTCCGAATGCACTATACGTAGCTTGTTTTTGGTCTCAGGTTCAGGAATGGCAGAAGAATTACAACATTTACCTGGAGCTAACTCTGCAAATAGCACTGCTGAGTGATTTGAAAAGTAATAGTCAATCGATCAATAATATAATAATAATGTTAGCAAAACATTTTATCTTTCATTTACAATCTGTAGAAACTATGAGAATAGAAAGGTTCAGGACTTTTGTGAAACATCACAGCACAGTTGAAAAATATATGGCTAATAAAAATCAAAACTGGATGGTGTTCAGAGATAGATGGTAGGGGTTGAGGGGAGCTGAAGGGTAGGACTGAAAATAACAAAGAAAAACAAAAAAAACAAGACAACTAATGTAAAATATACTGTATATACTAATGTAAAATGATGCTAATGTAAAATAAATGTATATAGTATGTCTAAGCTGGAAGTAGAAGCCTAAGTATTGATGTCCATTAGTTTACTCCAATTAGGGGAGGGATGATAGGGTTTAGGTGAAAATAATAAAGAAGGAAAATATATACAAATATATATATTTACCAAAAAATTGGAATTGGAAATGATGCCGACAATTACATTGATAGAAGCCACAATCTATCAGCAATATTTAAGCTGATCTACCCCCTAAACATTTTTTGAAAAGAAAGGAGAGCAGGGCTTGACAATGGGGGAATTACTTTACTAACCATCAATCAATTTTTTTTACACATTCATAAATAGTTAGCCTACAGCAACATTTGTGAGATATTCATTCAGTGCTTGCCAAATTGTGAGCCTGTTAAGCTTGGTTGAATAATGGTTTGTAAATGCACTTTAAATGGTCATAAGACAACTTCTAATTTCACCATGTAACTTTGCAAGGGTTTCACGGTTGAAGAACATTCTCACTTTTGGATGGGATGCATTGGTGCACTTATTTATTTATCCCAGGAATTTTGGCATCACGCCAAGATCTGCCCATCTACGCAATGCGCTCAAAATAACGATGACCTATAACGTGCCAACAATTTGTGTTGACACTGACTCATAGTGACAGTGCGCAAAGAACCGGGATCATGAAGAATGTTGTGTGCAAAATACAAACATAAGAGATTGCCGCGAAATAAACATAGTGTTTTAGAGGAGACAAAAACTTCCACACAGAAGAGACAAGGTAGGTTTTCCATGTCATTTGTTTTGCTTTTTGGATACAGAAATTGTGCTGGATGATTTAGCATAGGTAGTTAGCTAGCTAGCTAGCGTTTGTCAGCCAGCTAGTTAGCCTAGTGTTGGCTAGCTAGCTAACAATAGCTTGCTAGCTGGCGATGCTAGCTAGATAGCCAACTACACTGAAAGAAGGTAGCCCTTTCCTGCAGTCAAATGACCAAATCGCCCTCTAGTGGCCTCATGGGTGGAATGTTATTAATAAATGTTGGTGTTTCTATGTCAAACTGTTTTGTTATATTTCAGTCTTCTGTGATGTATATTAAGTATAATATTGGGATGCATTTAATACATTTCAACTCTATATCTGACTTGGTACAGGTGTCTTATTTTTTCAAAGACCATAACCATGTGTGTGAGGTGTATACTGTTGTTTCAAAGTAGATTTGTTTAAGACTACTAAGAAACACTCTGTGTGTGTCACGTCTACTCCCTCTCCGGTGTTCGAGGTCACCAGTCTGCTCATCATTTGTTTGTTTTCACTTGCAAATTAGTATTAAGTAAGTATATGGTAATTGCTCATAGGTAACTATATATCTAGGTAACGTAATATGTAGGTACACATTAATTACAAGTAAGTACCCCTCAAGATACACTTAATTTTAACTAGATAAATCCTGTGTAACGCCTAGTAATTACATGGTACTTAGGCAGATAGTACATGTACTCTGTGGTGTACTAGTGGGTTTATCGTCCCACATGGATGGCAAGGAGGTTGCGATTGTCATAATGGGCAACATACACATTCATTATAAATACATTTGATTATTTTATTGATTATAATCTGGGGTGACACCCATATCATAGACCCCTGTCAGTTAGGTTGACCGATATCTGATCTGTTTTTGTAAACTCAACCAAGTTAACCCAGATGATACACGTTTGGGGGGCAACTGCTAGCAACAACATTGAGTGGAGATTTTGAACAGTGTGCATTCACGGGTAGGTAATCAGAGCCTGTTGAGCCTCTACCCATTCTAATCTTGGACACCCAGCGCATCGGTCTACGAGAGATTACAACCTTGTGACAGTTGGTACTGAATCGGATGCAGCTGAGAAGAAACAAAACACTAAATTGGTGAATTTAGTGGAAACTTGCCCATTTGTAACAAACATGGTAACAAACATTTGTTGTTACATCTCTGTAATTACAGACTGCAATTACCATCAGTTACATGTTGTCATTGCAGTGTAACTATGAGTTTTTACAATTACCTACAATACTTGTTACAGTGTAATTACACAGGTAATTACGCTGTAATAAGTCCCCTTAAAAAATGTCCAAAATACAAAAACAATGTGATGGACCATGTATATACAAACATCCGTGACGCATACAAAGCAATCCCCCGCCCCCACTTCGGCCAATCAGATCACGTCTCTCTGTTCCTACTCCCCGCCTACAAGCAGCAACTCAAGAAGGAGCCACCAACACAGAGAATAGTTTGGCGCTGGACAGAGGAGGCAGACTCAATGCTGCAGGAGTGTTTTGAGAATACTGATTGGAATATGTTCAAAGACTCATCAACTCAGGACTCATCCATCAACATTGAGGAATATACTGTACAACATCAGTCACAGGCTTCATTAAGACATGTGTTGATGATGTTGTACCCACAATAACAATACGGACATACCCCAACCAAAACCCTGGATGAACGGAGATATCCGTACCATGCTTAGAGCCCGTACCGCAGCATTCAATGTTAGCAGAACGAACGAGCTCCGCAAATCCATTAGGGACATCCAGTAAGATTCTCACTGCTCCGGATGACCAGGTGCTTCGATCTCCGAGGCTATGAGGAAAACTCTCAAAAGAGTGAATAGTCACAAAGGCGCTGGCCCAGATAGCATCCCTGGCCGCATCCTCAAAGTGTGCTGACCAGCTGGCGGGCATCTTCTCTGACATTTTCAACCTGTCCCAGTCACCAGGCTGTAGTTCCCACCTGCTTCAAGGAGACCACCATCGTCCCAGTGCCCAAGAAAAACACGGTGACATGCCCAAATGACTATGCTCCTGTAAGTCGCTCTGGATAAGAGCGTCTGCTAAATGACTAAAATGTAATGTAAATGTATCGCCCTGTCACACTCACCCCGGTCATCATGAAGTGCTTTTGAGAGGCTGGTCAACAACACCTCCTCCACACTGACTCCTAACAGAGGGGCCCACCAGGGGTGTGTCTTCAGCCCTCTACTGTACTCACTGTTCACCCACGACTGAGTGGCTTTGCATAACACCAACTCCATCATCAAGTTTTCTGACGACACCCCTGTTGTAGGCCTGATAACCAACAACGACGGGTCAGCCTATCGGGAGGAGGTAAGTGAACTGGAATTGTGATGCCAGGACAACAACCTCGCCCTCAACGCCAGCAAAACAAAGGAGTTGATTGTTGACTTCAGGAAGCAGAGGAAACATGCCCCGATCCACATCAATGGAACTGCAATATAGAAAGTCAGCAGTTTTAAGTTCCTCGGCATCCACATCACTGAGAACTTGACCAACAACACCACCACACTTGTCAATAGGGTGCAACAGCGTCTCTACTTCCTAAGACGGCTGAAGAAATGTGGGTCCTCTCCAAATACTACCGCTGCACCATCGAGAGCGTCCTGACACGTTGCATCACGGCCTGGTACGGGAATTGCTCCATCCACAACCACAAGGACCTCCAGTGGGTGGTGAAGACGGCCCATTACATCACTGGGACCGAGCTCCCACCCATCCAGGACATCTCCTCGAAACGGTGCCTAAGGAAGGCCCGCCGCATCATCAAGGACCCCACACCCCCAGCCACGAGCGGTTCACTTCCTTACCGTCAGGCTCAGAGACAGTTTCTATCTACAAGCTATCAGACTGCTGACCACCTGCACTGACTCTCCACACCTTAGCACACATGCACTCACTCATGCACACACCCACACAGATATACATTCATCCACACACACAGACACACACACATATCTACATTCATGCTACACACACATCACAACTGCTGCTACCTAACGCTTATTATGATTGCAAAATACTGCAGAATTTAAGCACATGCCCCCCAATCACCCCTTTCCTAAAACATGTCAATATTGGACTATAAATTGTGCCTTCCTGTATTATACTTATGCTAAAATGTTTATTATATTCTACTGAACCATTTACTTTATGTTCGTATTCTTATCTTTTATTCTTTCTTATTGTTGTTGCATTGTCGAGAAGGAACCTGCAATTAAGTATTTTGTTGGACGGTGTATACCATGTGTATCCCGTACAACTAATGAAACCTGAACTAGTAACGATGGAAATGGGAAACAGCTCTGAGATTTAACGATGCTCCTAGGAAGGTTCTAACAATGAACTTAGCCTTAAGATGCTTTTGAGAAACCGGGACCTGGCTGCTCTGATCTAGGATCCCATCTCTCTGGCTCTGCCTTAGACAGCTTTGAAGAACGGGTGTGCGCGCCTGCATTCAAACATGTGCGAGCGGCCACCCAAACACACGCACTTGTGCGCACACACATACTCACGGGGACATGCACCCACATACACACACATGCGCACACACACACGCACACACACTAGTGTGCATACACACACAATCCCCAAGAGACACTGGGGACAGTCTGCTTTCACCCAGGTGAACCCAGCATCAAAAGGACACAACCCTTCCATCTTCCCTGGCAGAGAGTAAGGGCGCATTTGAAAGCACAGCTGCCCCAGGTCCTGCTCTATAAGAAGCCTTTAAAAAGAGACGGAGAGAAAGAGGGAGAGATGGATTTAGATAGATAGATGGAGAGAGAAGGCAAATGAGGGAGAAAAAGCATGGCTTAAAAACACATCTTGTTGCAGATTTCTGCTCACATAAAAGTCTGCACAAACCTAATCCAAAGAGACTTGCAACCGAGCAACCGGGGAGGGGAGAGAGGGGGGAGGGTACGGAGACTAACACATCCCTTTCTATAGACAGAGTAATATCCCTGTAGTAAGACATCTATCATCAGATCAACAGATCAATCATACCACCATTAGATGCCTGCCATCTACAGACATCGAACCATTATGGCATTCCCCAACAGTTTTATCCAACAATTATGTGCATGTGTCAACCTCTTTAGCTGACTGCCATAACTCACATGACAAAAAGCGTCCTTGATTCAATTAAAGTCTTTTCATTCTTCAATATGTGGTGCTAATAGAAATCGGAGTGAGGTACTCTGCTGTGTTTAAGATAAACAGCTCTCCTTCTCTCCTGCCATTGAATGTCTCTACAAGTAGCCTAAGTTGTCGACAGATCCCTCCTTGTACCTTGTAGTTACAGGAGAAAAGAGACAGCTAATATCATTAGGGAGACTAAAAGGGAATGTGGAGATCTACAGTACCAGTCAAAGGTTTGGACACACCTACTCATTCAAGGGTTTTTCTATATTTTACTATTTTCTACATTGTAGAATAATAGTGAAGACATCAAAACCATGAAATAACACATATGGAATCATGTAGAAACCAAAAAAGTGTTAAACAAATCAAAATATATTTTATATTTGAGATTCTTCAAAGCAGCCACCCTTTGCCTTGATGACAGCTTTGCACACTCTTGGCATTCTCTCAACCAGCTTCACCTGGAATGCTTTTCCAACAGTCTGGAAGGAGTTCCCATATATGCTGGGGACTTGTTGGCTGCTTTTCCTTCACTCTGCGGTCCAACTCATCCCAAATCATCTCAATTGGGTTGAGGTCAGGGGATTGTGGAGGCCAGGTCATCTGATGCAGCACTCCATCACTTTCCTTCTTGGTTAAATAGCTCTTACACAGCCTGGAGGTGTGTTGGGTCATTGTCATGTCGAAAAACAAATGATTGTCCCACTAAGCCCAAACCAGATGGGATGGTATATCGCTGCAGAATGCTGTGGTTAACATGCTGGTTAAGTGTGCCTTGAATTCTAAATAAATCACTGACAGTGTCACCAGCAAAGCACCCCCACACCATCACACCTCCTCCTCCATGCTTCACGGTGGTAACAACACATGCAGAGATCATCCGTTCACCTACACTGCGTCTCACAAAGACACAGCGGTTGGAAGCAAAAATCTCAAATTTGGACTCATCAGACCAAAGGACAGATTTCCAACGGTCCAAAGTCCATTGCTCCTGTTTCTTGGCCCAAGCAAATCTCTTCTTCTTATTGGTGTCCTTTAGTAGTGGTTTCTTTACGGCAATTCGACCATGAAGGCCTGATTCACGCAGTCTTCTCTGAACAGTTGATGTTGAGATGTGTCTGTTACTTGAACTCTGTGAAGTACTTATTTGGGCTGCAATTTCTGAGGCTGGTAACTCTAATGAACTTATCCTCTGCAGCAGAGGTAACTCTGGGTCTTCCTTTCCTGTGGCGGTCCTCATGAGAGCCAGTTTCATCATAGCGCTTGAAGGTTTTTGCGACTGGAAGTGGAGAGAAGGTTTGAGTGATCCGAGTGTGTTTGGAGTGTCACACTGTAGCAATCACATCCCAGTAATAGGGCATTATTAGTGTGGAGAGATGGAGCTGGGAATCAATGGCGGGTAAAACGGAGCAACGGATGGAGAAAAATAATGGACGAGGGTAGAAAAGGCAGCAATTGGGGCATCAAAACACATCAGATTTCTTCCTTCCTTTCCGTCGTCTCCTTTCCCCCTCTCCTCCGCTGCTCTGAGCTCTCATCACCCCTTTCCCTGGTGCCCCCCTCGACTCGCATCACCCCTCCTTCTCCTCTGCCCCTCCCTCCTTCTCTCCTCTCTCTTTGAAGATGTTTTGTTTTGGAGTTGGCGCTAATCTTCAAATGAGTACTCCGAAATGCATGTCCTCTGTATGTGTTCCAGTTTGTGTGTGCATGACAGGGTGTGTTTATGTGGTTGTTTGTGTATCTGGGCGTATGTTGTTACTCTTCGTAACGTTGCCCTCAGCACGGTGGTGGATGTCTTGCTGAGACTGTCTGTGTCTGTGTGTGTGTGTGTGGGTGTGTGTGTGTGTGTGTGCATGCATGTGTCTGTGAGGCACAGCGTGACAGCTGGAACAGTAGACGCACACAGACAGCTGGATACCAGCACAACCCCAGAGGGAGAAAGGACATAGAGAGAGAGAGACAGGGAGGGAGGGACAAACAAAGAGTAGATGCAGTGTAGTAGGCTACATATTCAACAGCGAGCTCACTGCATGCATGCCTGTGTGTGTTTTAGAGACAGTACACTTTGTTCCAAAAGCTCTGCCCATTTACAAACATTTACATGTGCACAATACACATGTAGGCCTCTATGCTATATTTTACTTGTCATCATGCCATGTTACGACCGTAAGTATTTTGAGAAGTTGCATCAGCAAAACCCATTTAGACTAACATTCTCGTAAGGCCTAATTGAGTTCTGTCAGATAGAGGAGGGAGCAGAGTGGTTCAATACAGTTTTGTGTTGAGATAAAGATGGAGGAGGACAGGAGGGGAGGAGCGAAGGGCAAGATGAGAGATGATAAGGAGGAAGAAAAGCGAGAGAGCAGGGAGGGGGAGGGGTGACGGGGAGAGTAATAGGGATGGACAGATACGGAGGAGAATAAAAGGAAACAAAGACAGAAAGAAAAATAGAGGGGGTGAGTGTTAATGACAGCTAGTGAGATAGAGAGGGAGATGTACTAGAGAGAGAGTCAACCACGCAAATGAGAGAGGGGATGTGGGGTAGAGAAAGAGGGAGAGAACAAGAATGACATAGAGAAAGAGTTAATAGATTTTTATGTCTGCTGAATTCCCCGGTGTGTCTTCTCTCTCCCCAGCACCAGTTTACACTCAGCAGGAAGAGGAAATGAACTTGTGCTCTCACTCATCTACCACCCTCGTGTCGTGTGTGTGTGTGTGTGTGTGTGTGTGTGTGTGTGTGTCATTAGTAACTGATCCGGGTGACTAATTGAGGATGTCTCAATAGCAGCAATGTCTAGCAGTGTCTGTGTTGGCTCGTTCAAGCTGCTAGGACACCTCTTAGTCCACCTACACACCCTCAGGCACACACACACTGGCATGAGCACACACACTCACACACGCGCACACACACGCACACACACATAAATACCATCCCCTCGCTTCTGGCATTAGAGGCACACTGCCACTTCTAATAAAGGTTGAAAGGATGGACTCAATTCCCCACGGTGTACCGTTTGCTCATAGAGGAGTGTGTGGACCACCAAGCTTGAATGCCCCATTAAAATGGATTGGACTCTAATTTAAAGTACAAAATACACTGCATTGACTTGACCAGATAGACCAGATTTCTGACAGTACAGTGTATTGTGAAGGGGCCTCACCAGTATCCTGTCCTCTGATTTGCTGTGCTTGGTGTCCTGCTTCACAGCTTGCATAAACTTGATAGATTGTTTATCAATGAGACTCCTGATGCTCTCTGTGGAAAGAAGGCATAAAACAAAAGTCAATACTGCAAGTAAATTACTCCCTCACAAAAACACTATCTTACATTACAAACACCACTGCACACACATGGCCACAGGAGAAAACAAGAGGAAACGAAACTGGTTTTATATTTAGCCCCAGAGACGGAACTGATATGGAGGTACAGGAACATTATGAGACAAAAAAGACAGAGGGGCATGGCAAACAGCTTTAGCAAAATGTTATATGAAAGGAAGTTTTATCAAAGTTTTATCAAATAGTTGATACACATCACAATATTTCTTAAGCTGCCATATCCAAAAGACACCATAAGCTTTCAAACACTAAGGCTGCGTTTACACAGGCAGCCCAATACGGATCTTTTTTCACTAATTGGTCTCTTGACCAATCTTATCAGCTCTGAAAAAGATCTGATTTGAAAAGAGCTGATGTGATTGGTCAAAAGACGGAAGAGGGGGATGACGAGGAAGGATCAGAGAAAGACAAACAGAGAGTTAACGCAGTGGTAATCGACTTTAATCTCTGTAAAAGCTCAGACACCGGTAGGATTGTCAAGCGTTTGCCTGCCGACAGTACTTAGCACCTCTGAACAGAGTGTCGGCAGTCAACCTATTTTGTGTTCAAATAGCAAAGACCTTGGAAGTCGTCAGCCACTATGCCTTGTTAAAATTCTCCAAACCAGAAGTCGGCAGTTGCGTTATTTGGCAATGCATATCCGAGCGTATTGCTTATGGTCTAGATTTGAAGCTATCTGCGCTAATGTTGTTAGTTTGTAGAAAGCCCTTGTTGATACTATGGCCACAGCTAGATAACTACCTAGCAAGAATTCACTGTCCATAATCCCATTACGCCAGTGCCAGCCCATAGTCAAATGTTTAGCTAGCTAGCTAAAGTTAGCATTTTCACTAACTAGCAAAACACAGCTAGCTAGCTAAGGACACTGCACTAACTCGGCAGCTAACACAGGCAGCTGATTCATGGAAACGAGTTAATCCATTGCAATTTAATTATAATAGCAATACTAGCTACAGTGGTTAGCTAGCTTGGAGGAAGTATTTAGTGCTGTGTGCATTGTGTCTGTGCGCTTGGCTAGCTACACTATATGACCAAAAGTATGTGGACACCTCAACATCTCATTCCAAAATAATGGGCATTAATATGGAGTTGGTCCCTCCTTTATTGCTATAACAGCCTCCACTCTTCAGGGAAGGCTTTCCACTAGATGTCGGAACATTGCTGCGGGGACTTGCTTCCATTCAGCCACAAAAGCATTAGTGGGGTCGGGCACTGATGTTGGGCGATTAGGCCTGGCTCGCAGTCTGCGTTCCAATTAATCCCAAAGGTGTTCAATGGGGTTGAGGTCAGGACTATGTGCAGGCCAGTCGAGTTCTTCCACACCGATCTCGACAAACCATTTCTGTATGGACCTGGCTTTGTGCACAGGGGCATTGTCATGCTGAAACAGGAAAGGGCCCCAAACTGTTGCCACAAAGTTGGAAGCACAGAATCGTCTAGAATGTTATTGTATGCTGTAGCGTTAAGATTTCCCTTCACTGGAACTAAGGGGCCTAGCTCGAACCATGAAAAACAGCCACAGACCATTATTCCTCCTCCACCAAACTTTACAGTTGGCATTATACATTGGGCCAGGTAGCGTTCTCCTGGCATCCGTCAAACCCAGATTAGTCCGTCGCACTGCCAGAGGGTGAAGCATGATTCATCACTCCAGAGAAGGCGTTTCCACTGCTCCAGAGTCCAGTGGCGGCGAGCTTTACACCACTCCAGCTGAAGCTTGGCATTGCGCATTGTGATCTTAGGCTTGTGTGCAGCTGCTCGGCCATGGAAACCCATTTCATGAAGCTCCCGACGAACAGTTATTGTGCTGACATTGCTTCCAGAGGCAGTTTGGAACTCGGTAGTGAGTGTTGCAACCGAGGACAGACTATTTTTACGCGTTATGCGCTTCAGCACTTGGCAGTCCTGTTCTGTGAGCTTGTGTGGCCTACCACTTCGCGGCTGAGCCGTTGTTGCTCCTAGACATTTCCACTTCACAATAACAGCCCTTACAGTTGACCAGGGCAGCTCTAGCAGGGCAGAAATTTTACGAACTTACTTGTTGGAAAGGTGTCAGCCTATGACGGTGCCATGTTGAAAGTCACTGAGCTCTTCAGTACGGGCCATTCTACTGCCAATGTTTGTCTATGAAGATTGCATGGCTGTGTGCTCAATTTTATACACCTGTCAGCAACGGGTATGGCTGAAATACTCCTGAGTGGCGCAGTGGTCTAAGGCACTGCATCGCAGTGCTAACTGTGCCACTAGAGATCCTGGTTCGAATCCAGGCTCTGTCGCAGCCGGCCGCGACCGGGAGACTCATGGGCGGCGCACAATTGGCCCAGTGTCGTCCAGGGTAGGGGAGGGAATGGCCGGCAGGGATGTAGCTCAGTTGATAGAGCATGGCGTTTGCAACGCCAGGGTTGTGGGTTCGATTCCCACGGGGGGCCAGTATAAAAAAAATATATGTATTCACTAACTGTAAGTCGCTCTGGATAAGAGCGTCTGCTAAATGACGTAAATGTAAATGTAAATAGCCGAATCCACTAATTTGAAGGGTTGTCCACATACTTTTGTATAGTGAGGGAAAGACGTATTTGATCCCCTGCTGATTTTGTATGTTTGCCCACTGACCAGTCTATAATCTTAATGGTAGGTTTATTTGAACAGTGAGAGACAGAATAACAACAACAGAAATCCAGAAAAACACATGTCAAAAATGTTATACATATTAATTTTAATGAGGGAAATAAGTATTTGACCCCCTCTCAATCAGAAAGATTTCTGGCTCCCAAGTGTCTTTTATACAGGTAACAAACTGAGATTAGGAGCACACTCTTAAAGGGAGTGCTCCTAATCTCAGCTTGTTACCTGTATAAAAGACACCTGTCCACAGAAGCAATCAATCAATCAGATTCCAAACTCTCCACCATGGCCAAGACCAAAGAGCTCTCCAAGGATGTCAGGGCAGGGACAAGATTGTAGACCTACACAAGGCTGGAATGGGCTACAAGACCATCGCCAAGCAGGAATCAGCCCAGAACTACACGGGAGGATCTTGTCAATGATCTCAAGGCAGCTGGGACCATAGTCACCAAGAAAACAATTGGTAACACAGTACGCCGTGAAGGACTGAAATCCTGCAGTGCCCGCAAGGTCCCCCTGCTCAAGAAAGCACATATACAGGCCCGTCTGATGTTTGCCAATGAACATCTGAATGATTCAGAGGAGAACTGGGTGAAAGTGTTGTGGTCAGATTAGACCAAAATCGAGCTCTTTGGCATCAACTCAACTCGCCGTGTTTGGAGGAGGAGGAATGCTGCCTATGACCCCAAGAACACCATCCCCACCGTCAAACATGGAGGTGGAAACATTATGCTTTGGGGGTGTTTTTCTGCTAAGGAACAGGACAACTTCACCGCATCAAAGGGACGATGGACGGGTCCATGTACCGTCAAATCTTGGGTGAGAACCTCCTTCCCTCAGCCAGGGCATTGAAAATGGGTTGTGGATGGGTATTCCAGCATGACAATGACCCAAAACACACGGCCAAGGCAACAAAGGAGTGGCTCAAGAAGAAGCACATTAAGGTCCTGGAGTGGCCTAGCCAGTCTCCAGACCTTAATCCCATAGAAAATCTGTGGAGGGAGCTGAAGGTTCGAGTTGCCAAACGTCAGCCTCGAAACCTTAATGACTTGGAGACGATCTGCAAAGAGGAGTGGGACAAAATCTCTCCTGAGATGTGTGCAAACCTGGTGGCCAACTACAAGAAACGTCTGACCTCTGTGATTGCCAACAAGGGTTTTGCCACCACAAAGTCATGTTTTGCAGAGGGGTCAAATACTTATTTCCCTCATTAAATTGCAAATCAATTCATAAAATTTTTGACATGCGTTTTTCTGGATTTTTTTGTTGTTATTCTGTCTCTCACTGTTCAAATAAACCTACCATTAAAATTATAGACTGATCATGTCTTTGTCAGTGGGCAAACGTACAAAATTAGCAGGGGATCAAATACTTTTTTTTCCCTCACTGTATATATAGTGTACCATCCCAAAGCCTACATGGCATATGAAGTGTGACTGGTTCATCTGTGGATGTACGGAGAAAATACCCTATTTTTCCCTTTTTTTGTTGGCTCCCCCACGTCGGGGTTCTTTCTCTCTGATTAGCTCAAAGTGAAGTTGTTGGCCACTGACGAGCATTGCGATTCTACAAGTAGCATCGGCAGTTTCGTCGCTACCGGGTCGGCAAGCAGCAGGTACCGCTTTTGTTCTAGCAAGAAAAGGAACGGCCTGCCACTGTGATAAGTACCTATCGGCAGTCTATCGGCAGTGCGATTCTCAGTGTGTTTCATGCTTAAAACCCACTCACTTAAAGCCCTTAACACTGGCCATTCCCACAGATGGCCCGGCCACAGCATATGCTGAACTACAATTAGAGAGAGAAGTAGGGAATGGGAGAGAGAGATGGGAGAGGAGAGGATGAGTTAAAACCTAGCCAGCAGATCCGACCCACTTGCTTACAGCTTCATTAGGGTCGGACAGGCTTCCTGCTTAGATTAAAACACAGTGGAGCCGGCGCAAGATATGTCTCGCAAAACGTAGGGTGAATGTGGAATAAGTGGGACCATTTTTGCATTTCCATCTTCTGTAACTTATTTCGACATCTATCCAACATATTAGCCCAACACATTTCTGAAATCCTCAAGATGTTTCCTAATCACACAAAACAACTAATGTTGATATCATATTCACAGAGGCAGGACACACTCATTTGTGTACACTGAGTCAAAACCATATTTTCTGTTTGCATTTGGTAGACTGGGATAGCAGGTTAGATAAACTGGGACACCGTTATTATAATCCTAATTGTACTCCAATGACAATTCAATTTTGTGTGATTAGGAAACATTTGTTGGGCTAATATGTTGGATAG